ACCAGTGGACCACCGACAGATTTGTAGAGCAAAGAGAAATCAGAAAAATAATTTATTAAACACACATAGCTATTAGCTTCATCTTTTGGGGTAGTTGGATCTGAAATAAGCAAAGAGAGTCAACTCAGAGCCTCCATCGTCTGAGACATGCACCGAAGTGACCGAAAGCTTCTCTGTCGGATAATCATAAGCCATCACCGATAAGGCCATGTTCACGACACTCATAGGTGGCTCTTTGTATGGATCTGTGCATATAAACATGTCCAACCCCAAAAAATCTTTCTTGCTCGTGAGTGCTCTATCGAGGTTTTCCGGGAACTCCTGACGGTGGATTAGACGTATGTGAAAAGACTGCGTAACCACTTGAACCTTAAGAGGAAATCGCAGAAGAAAATAGAGATGGAGATGAAGGATGATAGCCGCGGATTGGATTCGATCTGATCCGTTATTTTACGGATTCGATCCGATCCGATCCGATCTGTAAGCTAACGGATTGGTGGCGGATTCAAAATCTCCCAATCCGTTGCGAGCGAATCGGATTAGGATTTATGCCTAATTCGATCTATGGCCACCCCTACATTAAATGAGTGACTTGTATCCGTTCAAACACTAGTGATTTTCTACGGTTTGAATCCTGCCAACCATTTTATTATTTTTTTTGGGATCAATTAGGCTTCATACCACTCTCACTCCTCCCGTCCTTCCTCCTCGCTATTCTAGCTAGCAAGTCTTCTATGGCCCTGTTTAGTAACAGCCTGATTTTTACTGTCAATTTCAAAAATTGAGAAGCAAAATTAAAAATCGCGTTTGATAAAGTAATTTTACTTTTTTACTTCAAGAAAGTACTTCTTCTTTTAACGAAGAAAAGAGAAAGTGACAATTTGATACTTTATTTATTTTCGCCACTATACATAGATAGGAATTACTTTATCGACTGTTATCCCACTAAAATTACTGTACTACCCATCTTTCTTCCTTTAACCCATCATCCTCTCCTATCACCAAGACCCACGCCACAACCACTGCAAGTTTGGAATCGGCCGATCAGTGACCGGCGACGGAAGGGACACCAACTTCTCTCTCTTCTTCTCTCTACCACCACAGACTGCTATGAAAAGCCGCCGATCATCCATTGCAGATTGAAACCTCTTCCTCCTTTTACTGTTGACCCATTATCTCATCACCCCGATTTCTTCCAATTTCAGATAACTATGCCTCAATTTCATCGGATCGCTAGACTGATGTAGGATTTGGACTGACGATTTCCTCTATCAAACTCATCTATTTCTCTCTTTTCAACCACATCAACTACTTCTTGATTCAGGCATCGTCGTTGCCGGAGAAGAAGAAAGGCCACAACTTTAGGACAAGTCAACCATGAGAAGGTGACAGGCAACCAAAAATTGATGATAATTACATTGTTTATAACAAGGGTATGTTTACAAGGTAGAAAATCACCTCTAGTGAAATAGTGGAACCATTTGCTCCATTTTTGTGAATGAACAGTATTTACCATGATGGGTAAAAAATTGAATTTGCTTTATACATAATTTTTGTATATATATATATATATATATATACACTGTTCAAATATATTTTTCTTTCCTCCTTTGTTTCTTCTTCCCTCCCTCATTCATTTCAGCAATCCATTTGAAATAAAATTGAAATCCCTTCACCCAACTACCCTTCTTCTCTCCCAAAATATCAATCAACCCAGTTTAGAATTTGATTTTTTTCCAAATAGATTTTAATTTTTTTCCGAATAGAAGCAGGAAGTAGGCTTTATTTGAAAATAGAATAAGTGATTCTATTTCCAAATTGAAGGTCAGATCAGACTTCTCCGAATCGAAGCAAGAGGTACGATTTCTTTGTTTCTGCCATTCTTATGGAAATAAGAGGAATTCCTTGAAAATAAAATCTAAAAATTATATCTGTATCCCAAATTATCCTCATTTGCTACATCACAACAATTTCCCAACCGCATCACAACAATTTCCCAACGTATTTGTAAAGTGGTCAATCACAACATTTTCCTAAGGTATATCTCAACATTTTTGTACAAACATCCCAACTTATTTATAAGGTGAATTCCAACATTTTCCTAAGGTGCATCCCAATATTTAATTGCTAGTGTATCATTTAAAATGATACTATTTCCTTCTTCTTCTTCACCTCAGACCGCCGTTTTTCACTTCTTTTTCTTCACCTCACCACCGTTCTGGTGCATCCCAACATTTTTCTACGGTGAATCCCAACATTTTCCTGAAGTATATCCCAACTTATCCCAACTTTTCCAACCTAGCCTCAGACTTTCTTCCTTTATTCTTCATTTTCCTTTCCCTTCTTCTTCATCTTCGTTTATTCGAATTTCAAACCCTGACCCTCAGACCTTCCTTCTTCCCTTATTCTTTGCCTCAGACCTTCCTTCTTCTTTGCCTTAGACCTTCGATCTTCACTTATTCTTCTTCGCCTCAGACCGCCGTTCTTTACTTCTTCTTCTTCACCTCACCGCTGTTCTTCACTTCTTCTTCTTCGCCTCAGACCGCCGTTGGTACTATTTCCTTCTTCCCTTTTAGAGAGAGAAAAGAAGACAGTCATGCGTAGCTTTTAGAGAGAGAAAGGGAGACAGCCGTGCGTACCGTAATTTAGAAATAATATTTAAAGTTTATATAGATATGAAATACAATATTTAAAGGGGTTGTAAAAAATTAATTATCCAATTCTTTTAATTGATGTGGCACATTCTCAGCCACTTATTTCAAATGGAGCAAATGGTTGCACTATGCAACCGGAGGTGATCCTAATCCCTGTTTACAGAGCCTACCTTTTTTACTCTCTGCATACCAAAGAATCGCGATGACATTGATATGTATGAAGGAACAGATGAGCTCTTCAATCTTTATCAGGTTCTTCTTTGGAGTCATAGTTTGATGCCCTCACTTTTTCTATGCTTGTGTTGCTAAATTTATGCTTGCTTAGTTCACCATTGAGGAAGCCAAACAATTATCATCAAACCCATATACCTTTTTTAGAGAGAGAAAGATGACCACGAAAACAAAAATAAAATTATAATTTATTGAACTTGCTTTATATTTTTTCGCTTTCAAAATTTTGAAAGTAGAAAAAATTATTGAACATGATTCAACTTTTTATTTCATGTCAAGAAATCAAAATCATGTTTTTATTTTTGAATAAAGTAAAAATAAGAAAGTGAAAACGTTAGTAAACAGACCATATGTTTTACTTTTTCTTTTCTCCTTTTCATTACTGGTATTTCATTTTCTCATTTGATAAAAAAAAAAAAAACCTTCTTGCTTTAAACAAATATTTTTTCCTTTGTTTTTTATTTTTATTTTTCATCTTAGGCGTTAAAATATGAGGAGATCTTAACAATATAATCGTATTTCCTTTATTTTATCTCAAACCAAATATTATGATTGTCATATGTCTGTGTGTGTGTGTATTTATTCCTACTTATGCCAGCACTGTTTTAACAGCACACACGTCTATCCAAATTACAATTAACATTTCAAGGTGTGGCATTGCAAGAAAAACAAGAAAAATGTTTTTCACTGGCAATCATGTGAGAAATATAAGAGTAAAGTATTTTTTAAAAAGAATTATTTGATAAGAACAAAAAAAGGTAAAATAAATTTAGAAGATAGGTGGGCATTACTTCATATCTTAGTTGGTAGCGCGTCTAGCTCTCCAAACTGGTATGACCATATTCCAAGAATAAAAAAATAATTGATGGACAACAAATATTATATTAGCTATTAAAATGTCACAAGTGACATTTCTCATTTTATATGCTCACAGTGGGACATACAAAAGGAAAATCAATCACAAATAGGGATGCACAAAAAATTGTGAAACCATTTCGGTTTCGGTTCTCACAGTTTTGTTTCTGATTTCGGTTTTAAAATTTTGGAACCGTTAGATAATGTTCGGTTCCGGTTGTCGTTAAATAATTATAAATATTATATTTTTAATCATATAATTACTACTATATGTCTATTGATGCATACAAAGAGATATATATAGAGTAAAAATATGTTCCCATGTGCAATATTATACATTAATGCAGTGTGAATGGGTTTAGAATCATAAATTTTTTAATTTCTTTTAAATAAAGGAACCGAACCAGAATCGTAAAACTGGTTTGGTTCAGTTCCGGTTTTAGTTCCAATTTCTAGGGACCGGTTCCGGTTTTTGCGAGGAACCGTAGGAACTAGAGCCGTGTGCACACCTATCGGACCCCTCTTTTTTTGGTTTTTTAATTTTAACTATTTTATTAAAAGCTCAATAACTTAAAAATTCAGCTATAATATCACAGTAAAAACCAGCTAGAAATTTGTTAAATTTTGAACCTAACTGACAAATTATTTAAAGAACCAAACCGTTCTAAATGATATCACAACATTAAACAAATAATTATTCAATCGTAATGAACATTTGAAAGTGGCATTGCATTGAAAACAATAAAAGAGTGAATTATTTGTTTGTGAAAGAATTCTTTGGTAAGAAAAAGAAAATAAAAAATAAATCTAGGAAATAATTGATGGACAACTATATTTTATATTATTTGCTAAAATGTCACAATCTTTTAAAAGAATTGGTGCACTAAGAGGAAGAGGGTTATTTGCAAAAAGAGAATTCTTAGAAGGAATATTTTTCACTGTATCCATGTTTATATTAGTCCTAACTCTCTCAAAAGTTTACTAAAAATTATTAAAAACTCTAAAAACAGAAGTATATATAATTTTTATTTTCAAAACCGTCAACCAAACAAATTTTTTTATTTTTTATTTTTTATTTTGTACAGTTCTATTTTCTGTTCTTATAAAATAAAAAACTGTTGAAGCAGGTAGGGCTTAAGCTTTACTCTATATATAATTTGTTACTACATGTTTGTTTCCATTTTTATTCAGTATATATATTATTTTTAGAAAAATCTGAATTACTTTTATTAGAAAATATAATAGAAATTATTAAACAATATTGGTTTTATTGAAAATTTAAGGACCAATTACTTCTCTCTCTCTCTCCAAAATTGCAGAAACGAAAAGACGGCGAAGCCCATGGCCGATTCGCGTAGCAACAGAGCAGCCGTTCAGGCCACCAACGACGACGCTTCAGCGAGTAAACTGTATGTGACATTTGCATCACTATTATTCCCATCTTCTTTATATTCATGATCTCTGTGTTCCTTTTGCTCTGCTTCAAATACGTAACCCTAAGTCTCATCTCCCAAAACGATATATTTGTATCATTTTCGTTTCCCCGATTGGTCGCTGAGAAAACAGAGAAGAAAATTTCAAGCACTAGGTAATTCTACTAGTTCATACTGGAGGTTCTATAAAATAATGTATTTAAGTTTGAACGAATTTCCACTGCCTACTACTTTCAAGCAGCCAAACAGAGCATAACTTAATGGCAAGGTCCTATCACTATATATTGATTGATTTGATTTAATTTTCAATGTTTAATTGGTAGTAATTATTCAGGTTGGCTGAGATTTTATTACTAAAATTAATTATGTGTTTGGAAGCATTTGATCTGTGCTTTGGAATTGGAGTAAAATTAATGTTTGAATTTGAACTAGGTATTTTTTATTCCAATGTGTGGATTCTACGCTGCCAAACACAACATAGATGTATTCCTTTGAAATCTTGTCTGCTTGAATTTACTTTAATCAACACCAGTGACCAACAACATGCATGATATTTGCGAGAAATTAAAATCTGTGCTGCAATTTTTATTTTTGATAAATGACAATACATTGTTTCTACATCTACTCGTGGTTTTGCTTCACTTTATCATATCATATTATTGAGTACAATTCTTACATTTAGTCTTTCCCATGATCATGTCAAAAAGAAAAATTTGTAACATGATTTGTCATTTTTTCAAAATAGTCTTGACTTTTTATTTCTCATAATTAGTATGGTAACATTGAATCTTATTGCAAATAGAGTATCCTTGGCGTTGCCTGATGTCTAATTATTATTTTTTCTCTCCCTGTGAAAAACTAATAATCATGGTTCAGTTTTTGTTGGTTAATGCTAATATCACTCTATGCATGGCTGAAAGGTCCTGTGTCAAAAAAGGCTACATGAAAGATGACTACATTTATTTGTTTGTAAGAAGACCCGTGAGAAGATCTCCCATAATAAACCGTGGTATGGTTCAATTGCTACCAGAAACTAAAGCTGACATATTATATATTGTTTCAATTTTGTTGTTTTGATTTCAGTTTATTGCTTTTGATTCTGTATGTGGCACTTTAAGGTTACTTTGCTAGATGGGCCGCTCTACGGAAGCTTCTTGTCCAGTTTCTTAATTGTGATAAAGACACTGATGAAAAAGGTCACACTAAGAAGCAGATATTGTCATTGGGAGCTGGCTTTGATACGACATTTTTTCAGTTGCAGGTGCATGGTTTTCCTTATGATTAATTTTGCATTCAAGGAAGTTGTGACTTCCTAGCACTATTTTTCCCCCCAACTTATAATTTTATCCGTTGATTAAACTTTTATTCTGGCTTGTTACAATTGTGAAAAGCAAGAATACTTTTTTTGATTATGGTTTCTCTATAAATTTTCTGTGATTGATGCTTGCCCTTATTGTTTTTACACTTCGTTCAATACTTCAGCATTGTTCACGTGTATTGATATGTTCAATTTCTTCACGAGCAAATTGTTACATTTTATTTATACAAAAAAAAAAAAAAATTGTTACACGTGCAACTTATCGAAGAAAAAAAATAATAAACACATGCATGTATGTGGCTTTAATTATAATATTGTAAACATCTTTGACAGGGAGAAGGACAAGCACCACACTTGTACGTGGAACTGGATTTCAAGGAGGTACAAATTTGAATCATTTATAACCTTTTTGTAGGTTTGGGCATAATGCACTGGCTTAGTTATGCGGTACAAGGGTGCAGAGTTCACTATATTAGGTGGACACTTTATTTTATGTGAAAGAGCTGAAGTTCCTCTCTTTGGATCTGTAAGACAAAGTGGAACTTTCTGCTGTGAATTCACTACAGCTTCTCTTACATGTTAGCAATTACATAATTTATTACATTCTGTGTTTCACTTGCTGTTGTAACTTGCAAGGTTAACTTTTAGAGTTCCTTTTGTTAGGTGACAAGTAAGAAGGCAGCTCTTATTGAGACTTGCAGTCTGTTGAGGGACAAAATTGGTGAAACAGCATCAATCTCTCAAGGTAATAAATAGCTCCTGGAAGTTAATGATCTGAATCCCCGATGCCACAAATTTCACAAATATCCTCTTATCATTCACACTCACCTCTCAATGTATACTTAAATTGCATTAATGATGTACTTAATGTGGAACACTTGAAGAAACTTCACTTACTATAGCGGTTTATCCTCCAGTGCCGGCAGTCTTTGACATTTTTCAACGTTTTTCTGCTGCCTCACCTTCCAACCTACATGTCCACTAATACAACCTTCTGCTCATTATAGCAACACTTAACCTCAAAGATTTTCTCCAACTGAACCATCGCCCCTTTGCTTCTAATGAATCCAATGAGTAAAAGCTGTAAAGAAAGGTGGATTCAAAGTTTTAAACCTTCTCTAAGCTACAAGTATACTGTCAACTGTAGGCTACCACCACAGGATTATTCTGCACGTCTTGTTATTGCATAATAGCAGCCACACATTTGAAGGCTTTATGACCACCTCCAGAGGCATAATTAGATGCATGGGACTTTTGGTTTCGCCTTCCTATTCAACAAAACAAACTTTATTTTTGGAACTAGTATCATAGACCAATAAAACACTAACCTGATGCTCTGAGGATCTAAAACCTACTGCTCTGATTTCACTAATACACAGGGTGGTATGACTATTGTTGTACTGGGCAGTCATGGCTGTAATAGCAAATAAAAAGATATTAATATGGTTTAATTTTTTTGACGTAAGCCATAAAACCAGATGTAGCATACTGTGAGGCATTGTACAATTACAATCATAAGTACAACTGTATCTTAAACTGAATATAATCACACACCCAATATACAAAGCCACTACAACAGCCAACCGACAAGTCTCTCTTCCTTCAAACTTTTTGCCTTTAAAGCTTCACCATGTTTCACTCTGAGGTGTTTTGTAATGGCAAAAGTGGGTCACATAGCTCAGAAGTAACTAATCAGGGTTGCTAGAATAGAGCAGAAGCTAATGTGATAAAACAAAGTATATAATGGGACAATGTTAGAATGATGCAAAACTTAGTTATCTCTGAATTGTAAAATTTTCAAAACAAGATGTGAATAGATAGTCTTTTATGTGCATATAGTAAATTTAATTCGGCTCAACAGCTAGCCTAGTGATAGAGCTCATAGATTTCTGTTTTTTAAATGATTTTCACTTTGATTCCAGTGAATAATAATTATATGCATGAATACCACTTAAGCAAATTGAAATTCTAAAGGAACAACAGCCAACTCTTTGGTAAAAAAAAAAATAATTCAATTTTTGTTTTGATAAGTAAAAAAATAATTCAATTTTTAAGATATTCTAATTTTTTTTTCCCTGCAAAGTTAATAGTTAAAAAGATATGTGTTATTTATAATAATTCCTAAAAAATTGTTGAAAAATAATATATACATATTTTTGGCTTTCTATGTATAAAGTTTAAAAAGTTTGGCTGTTAATCATTGGAGTTCTGTTAATTATTAAACATATTGTCTCCCTGCATTATTAATATTTGGAAAGATGACTATTGATGTCTACTTATGTACTATAGTAAAAAAGTGGTATCAGTTATTTTGTTTTTATTAAGAAGATATTTCTTGGTCATTTTTTGTTTTTGTTTGAAATAGTTTTCGTCTTCTTTTGCTAGATATTGTTCTTGCTATATCAATTAAGGATCAATGATTGTGCAGATAAAGGTGAAGTTCTAAGTGATCATTACAAACTACTCCCAGTTGATTTGCGTGATATACAAAATTTGGATGGTATAATATCGTTAGCTAATCTGGATCCCAGGTGTGTGCATGGAAGCATTTCTTTTCCCTTTTAATCAGTTCTATTCTTCAATTAAATTATAATGTTGTAGGTATCTCCTAGTATTATATATATATATATATATATATATGCAGGGTGGAAAAAATGGAGACGTGCTAATGGTATTTTATGCCATGAAAGAATAAGAAGTAATTCAGAAGGAAAATTTTATTGAATAGTTATTAGGCCAGCTATCTTATATGCAGAGTAATGGGTTTTAAAAAAGAAACAAGAGCAACGAATTCACGTGGTGGAAATAAGGATGTTAAGATGAATGATAGGAGTGACTAGAAGAGAGAGTGTTACTGACAAAATGTGAGAGAAATTAGGAGTGACACCTATTAGTGATAAAATAAGAGAAGGTAGACTGAGGTAGTTGGACATATACAAAGAAGACCTATAAATGCACCGGAAGAAGGGAAAGACTTATTTGCGTAGAAGGTAGGACCATAGTTGTTAAAGGCACGCCTAGGCTCCAAAATAGTCCCGGGCTCATCAAGGCTCCCTAGTGCCTCAACCAACTACATGCCAGGTCCCTTCAATCAGACTCACCTAAAGCCCTCAAGCTCGCACTTTTTAGCAAGGGTCCAGGCTCAAAAGAATGGCACTTTATGTTTAAATTACTTGATTATTTATTTTTATTGTTGAACAATTAGTAGTTGAGGTGATGTCGTTGGAAAAGTTCATATAATGGTGATATTCTGTTCAAATGAAGCCAGATTGACTGAATTTGGGTAAATATAAGATGATTTGAGAAGGATTTGTGGAATTTGCATATTACTAGGTCTTGAAGATGCAGAAAACTATAGGACTATCAATGAATCCTCAATAATTCTGGATTATGTTTTCGTCTTTGTAACTCCATTTTACTTTTCTCACTTCATGACCTAGTAGGGTATCATGATTTTGCTACTATATGTTTGTGCTGAAGTAATGAACAAGCTGCAATATTCTGACATTGTTATCAGCCTTCCGACATTTATAATTGCAGAATGCGTTTTGATATACTTGGATCCAGATTCAAGCCGTGCTATAGTGGGTTGGGCTTCAAAAACATTTTCTACAGCAATATTTTTCTTATATGAGCAGGTTGTACAGAATTTTTATTCCTCTGGTCGCCTTTTTTTTTTCCCCCCTTTTTTAGTTTTTATCATTTGTGTTCTTGTCTTCTGGGGTTTGTGATCTCCTAATTTACATTTATTGTGGAGTTTAATAGATCCATCCGGATGATGCTTTTGGGCAGCAAATGATCAGAAATTTGGAGGTAATATGGATTTCATTTATCATTGATTCTTGGAATTTGTTGGTAGTTCTCTCTTTCAGATCTCTTTGTGATTACCTTTGTGCACATCACCCGGTGTGTGTCCTGTGGGATGCTGGAGGGAGGAAGACTAGAGACAAAAAATAACCTTCGGCATTACATTGCACAAAGTGGCTTCTAAAAGTATTGAACTGGCAAATCCACACTTTCTATTACGAGCTTTACCATTGCGCAGGGATAATGAAGACCTAGAACACCACGTAATCGTGAATATCTTGTCTGTCTTCCTAAAAATGTGCCCAACTTCAAATACCAGAAATCAGGTGGTTAATTACTCACTTATAGAGCAAACATTAAACCATACCTTATGCATATATGAAAGCAACCATTCAAAGATTTTGCCATTCATTTCCTTCTTCATGACCCTAATCAAGGAAAGCTATACACGTCCAAAATTAGTCCTTACAAAAGTCTCAGCTCCATTTGGTAGGCAGCATTTATGGAAGGAAAAAGAAGAAGATGGATCATTTGTGTGGAAGGAAATGGAAGGGGATAGGAAGAGGTCTTCTCTTTATCCTTCAGTTAGTATATGAGGCTATAATGGTAAAATGAAGTAACATAGTTGGTTTCTAACTTCTTTTTTTCTTTTCTTCTTGCTTCTCCATAGTCCATTCCTCTTCGTAAGGAGGAGCATTGAATCCACTAATCCACCTGCTCCAGTAGTAACAAACTATTGACAAAGTATATTACTATAAAGGTTCATTTGTCATGAGACTCAAGAGAAGAGCTACGTGATGATACATATATTTATTTACCTGATCTTATGAGAGCTACATGACGATACATATATTTATTTACCTGATGTTATGAGGATCTTTGATTAAGAATATTGTTATATTTATCTACAGATCTTATTATGATATATATTTCAATGTTGAGTAGGGCTAATTATCAAATGTAGCTTTGCATTTGTGTAAGGCCTATAAATAGCTTCTTGGGGGGAATGATCACCTTTACTAGATACTACCGTGCAATGTACCTTTCTTTGATCGTCCTTTTCATTTACTGATAATAGTTACGATTCTCCTCTAAATAATGAATTTACATTCTTTTGAAAACTAACTGTATTAGTGCATGTCCTTGTGACTGAACCAAAACTATAGCTATGAACAAGTTGCATTTACTCTTTTTACTGGTTTCCCCTCTGTGATAATTGTTGATTTATTATCTTTTTGATGGATTTAAGAAGAGTTATATGATGCTGGAAGTAAATGGTTTTATAATTGAAATAAACCACTCTTTGGCATTTTGTTGTACCTGTATGATTTAGATATGTTTAATTTTATAGAGGTCAAAATATGGACGCTGTTTTATATGCTTAGGTACCACTTCCGTGGCCATTTCTTACCTTTTGGGGATTAATTGCCTAGGTTTTACCTAAATAGCGTTGGCTACATTATTTGTAATGTCTTTATGTTATTAATTATAATACATGGATACTATACAATTATGAGAGTTTCATACAACTGCCGTTCAGGCAAACTTTCTTGACATGTAGAAAAATTCTCATGTGCTTTTTTTTGTTTGTTTCAGAGTCGAGGCTGTGCACTCTTAAGCATTTATGCTACACCATCTTTACTTGCTAAGGAAAAACTTTTTCTCGACCAGGGATGGCAGGTATATTCTCAACCCTAGAAATACTCAACTCAACAAAACATTTACCCAACTACTTAGGGTCGGCTACTCGACTGATAGGTTGAGGGAGTCGGGCAGGAGGTAGAATTATTGTTTCTAAATTATCTCAGATCTTGACAATGTGGATAATTCATAAACTGATCAATTGAGGTTGGAGCTTGGGAGAGGTGCTGAAAGTATATGTCTACTATTGTTTGTAATTGATGTGACACTTTTTGATGGATCTCTTGGAGATTTTTTTATGCTGATATAGTTCCCATCTGATGATCGGGTTATTAGATGTCTCATGTTTAATGGTCCAAAGTGTTACAGCATGGTTAGGTATAATGTCAGTCAGATGGTTCTGTGATAAAAATTTCTTCAAAAGGTGGAGACCTTCCTTACATTAAATTTTCTTTCCATGTAGGAAAATTTATATTTTAAAGTTTGTCACACTTTTATGTTAGGACACAGGATTTTGATTTTTCTTTATTTTAAAGTTTGTCACACTTTTATGTTAGGACCAAACCCCACCCCACCTCCCTCCCTCCCTTTTTCTGCCTTTACACTGTTATGTAGATTGTTCTTGTTTTTATGGCTAATACTTCCCTGACGATAATATGTGGAGTTTCAGAGAGCTGTTGCGTGGGACATGCTGAAAGTTTATGGTAATTTTATTGAAGCTCAAGAACGACGCAGGTAAAGATGCTCTTTAAAATCTTGGACACGTAAATTGTATGTTATTATTATTCTTGTAATCATTGTTTTTAGTAGATGCTAGGCACAATATCAGGAAAGGTGAATCCCTTCTTCCTGTTTTTAGGACAAGATCACATAATTGTGATAAAATGAAACCAGTCTTTTAAGGCTCTAAAAGTGTCTTCTTGTGAGAATGAAGGGTGAGGTTGTTGTTGTTGTTGTTTTTTTTTTTTTTTTTTTTTTTTTTTTTTTTTTTTTTTTTTTTTTCTGATTTATTGTGTGTACCTTTCTGCTTTTTATTTATTTTTATCAACTTTTCATTGGGAGGCTTACATTTTCTGTTTCTTAAATATTCGAGTGATTCTTATCTGTGATCTACTGCTGACTTAGGATCGAACGGTTGGAATTGTTCGATGAGTTTGAAGAGTGGTATATGATGCAGGCAAGTTATTTTTCATTTCTGAGCTAAAAAAGTAGGAAAAAGATGGTACATTTGTGGTCCCTTGTTTTGTAATGCTTCAATTTCCTATTTGAATGCCCAAAAGCTTGAGGAATGAAGCTTTAATCCTTCTCTGAGTTGGAATTTTCATTTATCTATTGTTTTTGTCTTGGTGAATTAATTGATGCCAGCTTTTATGAGTTGATCAATTTTATTTAACTTCTTTACATTTCCATAATGAAGTTGTTTCTTCTAGTTCACTTATTCGGTTGTTCATTTGGTTTTAAATTTTAATGTTGGGGATGCAGCAATAATCTCCTAGAAAGTATGGATGCTTTGGTGAAACAAAACTTGGAAAAAATTGAAACTTCAAATAAGATCTAATGAGTTTAGAGACGATTAACCACAACAATGACTGTTTCAGTTATTATGGTTCGGTTGGCAGTGATGTTTCAAAATACTCTGTGAAATTATGTCCGGGCTTAAAGTGCTAATGTCTTGACTGGCCTCTTTAATTAAATTTCTTAATTTATATACTTCAGTTAATTAGAAATTATTATGTGAATACCAGTATACCACCAGGTCCACCATGGGTTGAGTGGTATATCTTCCATCTCCACAAATATTTTTGTATATAAATTTACCTATCGGGGAAAAGAACACGCACGCTCGCGCGCGCACATACACACACACAGATATAGTATGAACTTTGCTAATGTTATTTCTTGTCTGAAAATGCCAACTCTCAGGAGCACTACTGCGTGGCCTATGCGATCAATGACGCCATGGTATGTCCATATATGACAGACACTTGAGCTATTTTGGAAGCATTGAAATGGTGTCTTGAAATTGGAACTAATATTTCTCCGATATTAATTCCTAAGTACCGATTCAATGCTTCCAAACACAACATTAATTTTGTTTACCACTCATCACTCACCATTTACTACTCTATTCTCGATTCCTCCTTCAGGGCTTGTTCAATGATGTGGGATTTCCTATTGACCAGAACATGACGGGCTCCTCCTCAGCAGCATCTCCATGAAAGTAGGAGGTTGTATTCCATCATGACTCTTTTGCCGATTATCTATAAATAATTGTCACTCCAGGAATCACACAAATGGCACACGACGACCCTCCAAGTGTGTAAAGGTACCCAAAATTGTCTGTGAACTAGTAATTAGTCCAAACTATATACCTAAAGGAGAATGATCTGTGTGGATAGATCTGGTGGTGGTTGTTTGACTCAGGTGGAGGGTTCCTTTCTTTCTAAGTGCTGTTCGGCAAATAAAACATGGTTGGTCCTCTACAGCACATAAATGTGTTATCCCATTGGCTTGTGGGTCCTCTTTTTTTGTGGGGGAAAAACTTTCATGGTTGATCCCTCTCCCAGTTGTAATATTTTTCTATGGTACTGTGCCTCTCATTTCTTCTCTTTTAATTCCTTTCTGTTTTCAAGTAGAGCAAACACCACTTAATTGATTTATATGTGCATGTATGCAAAATCAATATGCCATAAAGACCCATATAGTACTATACCTACTACATATTTAGGGGGGGAAAAAAAACACCTACTACATGTATATTTTGCATATCCACCACCTATTACATATTTAGGGGGGAAAAAAAACACCTACTACGTGTATATTTAGGGGGGAAAAAAAACACCTACTACATGTATATGTATATTTTGCATATACATGTCGTAGGTGTTTTTTTCCCCCCCTAAATATGTAGTAGGTGTTTATTCATGCATGGGATACATGAACCATGTATATGTAGTAGGTGGTGGATATGCAAAATATACATGTAGTAGGTATTTTTTTCCCCCCCTAAATATGTAGTAGGTGTTTATTCATGCATAGGATACATGAACCATGTTTGATCATTGAAGCAATCACTTTTAAGTAATATGTACCAAATGTTGGGTTTTATGGAGTTTACGCCTCCTATTTGAAAACGATTAAAAAAAAGTGACTTAAAAGTGATTGAAGCAGTCTCTTCTATCTGGTATTTGAAAATGTTCTGGGAAAGACTTTTGTGATGGTGACTCCATAACTAGTCTACCCATCTAAGAAAGTAGAGTTCGACTATTTACAAAAAAATCTGCTGCCGACTCCAAAAGGGTGCAAAACAGTTACAAAGGAAAAAGTAGAGTTCGACTATTTACAAAAAAAATCTGCTGTCGACTCCAAAAGCGTGCAAAACCATTACAAAGGAGAATATTTCTCTCCAACGAGAGGGTAGTATAATAATTTTTTTAAAAAGGAAATCTGGTAAAGAACATTCTCATGTGTTAATTGACCAAATGCATGGAATAATTAATTATTATAGGTTTGAAATGGATATTTGAATAAATTGTGTTAAATGTGAAATGATGCTGCTTAGAAAGAATGATTTTGATGCAATGCAAACACAGTTTGCTTTGAATATTGATGGTTTCAATTTGGTAGTTTCAGAAAAATTATATTAAAAAGAGAGTAAATTTGTTAGAAAGATGTTTATGTCGAGATATATGTTCTATTAAAGTTGGGAAAATGAAAAGTAAAGATAAAAATATGAGTTTTAATCATTTTTGAACGAGCTTTTTGTAAATTTCTTCCAATTAAAATCCCATACAGACAAATTCAAATATAACCACCATTGAAGTGGGCAATTTATTCTTAAAATGCAAACCAGTACTATAAGACAAACTTGAACTTCTATGCTTCCGAAAGCTAACCAAAAAGAATGAGAAAATGTTATGAATTATGAACCACCTATGTCATTATCTAAGTTAGGAGCGTAAAAGCATTAAATCACACGAAGTAAGGAGTAAGAGAGGAGTCACATCAGTAAAGGGAATAAGAGGGCATGTTAAATATGAAGTAGAGGGAGTACAAGAGCATGTTAAGATAATATATGAAAAATATGATACAATTTAAGTTATATAAAACAGTAATGCTACGTTTGGTGTGTAAGAATGGAATGGAATGGAATACAAATGGGAATGAAATTGAATGCAAGTGGGAATGGAATGAAAATGAGAATGGAATTGAATGGTCATTCCCATTCTATTGTTTGGTTGTAAATATGAAATGTGTAGGAATAGAATAATAATAACCATTCTAGTGTTTGGTTGGACCAATTTAAATTTTAGAATGGAATAAATTTCTAATTGAATTATCTAAAATATCCCTCTTAGTAACAAATAAATTAAATTAAATTAACAACATGATATTCTCTAATAATTTTTTTTTAAAAAATGGTGGCAATGGAGGTAGTGGATGGTGGAAAGCGGTAGTAGTGTAGGTGGTGGTGTTGGAAGGCGGCGGTGGTGGCAATGGTGGAAATTGGTGGTAGCAATGGTGGTGGAAGGCGACAGTGGTGTTGGTGGAAAGCGGTGGCAGTAGTGTGGTGGTTGTGGTGGAAAGAGATAGTAGTGTGACTATAGTGGTGGTGGAAGGTGGTGGCGGAAGGTGTTGGGCGATGGCGAAAGGCGGTAGCGGAAGGTGGTGGTGGTGGCGATGGTGGAAGGTGATGGATGGCGATGGTGGAAGATAGTGGAAGGTGGTGAAAGACGGTGGTGGAAGCGGTGGAAGGTGGTGGGTGATGGCGAAAGGTGGCGGCGGTGGCGGAAGGTGGTGTGGTGGCGGTGATGTTGAAAGGTGGTGGCGGCGGTGGTAGAAGGTGGTGAAAGGCGGTGGTAGAAGGTGGTGGTGGCAATGGTGGAAGGTGGTGGTGGAAGGTGGTGGTGGCGGTGGTAGAAGGTGATGGTGGTGGTGGAAGGCAATGGCGGCGGCGTTGGTGGTTGTTGAAGGCGGCAGCGGTGGCGGTGGTGGAAGGTGGCGGTAGTGGTGGTGGAAAGTAGTGGGCGATGGTGAAAGTCGATGGTGGTGGAAGGCAGTGGTAGTGGTGGTGGTGGTGAAAAGCGAAGATAATTGTGATGGAAGGTAATGATGGTTTTTAGACTTGAAATATGAGGGTGTTTTGGAAAGTTGATTTTTTAAAATAAATTACTTGGGAATGGAATGGCCATTCCATAGGTTTAGTTGTGGAATGAAATTTCATTCATTCCAATAGAATGGCCATTCCCAATTTAAGTTGCATACCAAATAAAAAAATGATTGGAATAGACATTTCATTTTATTCTATTTTTGCACACTAAACATAGCATAAGAGATCATGTTAACTAAACATGAAAATGAGCGTACAGGAAAATGGAACATACTCATTTAGAATAATGGTTATTTGAAGAGAGAATTTTTTAATCATCACACCACATTTACTTGAAGAGAATAATTGCTTGGTCATCACACCAAACAGTCCAAACATATTGCAATTGTTGACTTCGTGAATTTAAGTAATCAATTTGACCAAGTTGATATTTAAACACATGTCGGCATTCTTGCCACGGAAGCACACGCTTGTGCTTGTCTTAATAGCATCATATTATGATTCTTCAACTTTATTACATTAAATTGCCAGTATACATTTATGCTTTCACTTTTAACTTATGTTATCCCCGTGTCACTTTTGATCAGTAGTAATTTATTTTTAATTTTCAAATTTGTCTTTTTTTTTTTATTATTATGTAAAAAAAAAAAAAAAATGTATTCAATCGTGAGGACTTATGTCATGTATGTTTATTCATAATTGTATTTAATTTTGGAAGATCATATTTGCATTTCATTTTGCTTCAGTTACACTACATTTATCATTTTATTTTTAAAAAAATGATAAGAAAGTTCATAAATTCAATTAATGTACAATTCCTTAATTTATAATATCATAACTACCCTTTATACAAATTTTTTTTTTTTTTTTTTTTTACTATTCCCCGTCCTCTTTTTTTTTTTTTTTTTTTTTGCTATTCCCCCGTCCTTTTTTTTTTTTTTTTTTTGTTTTTGTTTTTTTTGGAGATCCTTTCAAAGAATATAATTTATTCTATACTAATAATTTTATTTTTAGCAGTCAAAAGAGATAATTTATTCAATAGTGACTTTTTTTTGTTGTTGTACAATAGAAAGAGTTATTTATTCAACAAAATTGACTTTTTTTTTTTTCTTTCAATTTTGTCAAAAGAGGTTACTTTATTTTTTGGTAATTTTTTACGAGTCAAAAGAAATAATTTATTCCATAAAAATAACCTCTTTTTCTTTTTTTTTGGGTAGAGATAATTTATTCAATAAATATATTTTTTTGGATTTTTTATTTCTTCATGTCAAAAGAGATAATTTTTTAAATGGTTACTTTTTATTTTATTATTTGTATTGTCAAAAGATACTTAAAATATTAAATATTAGAGATAAGGAGAGAAAATAAGAAATGAAAATTGTGTCATTTAAAAATTAATAATTATTTACTTGTAAAGATAATATTAGAATTGTCATTTTATTTAAGATTGTAATACAAATATTAAAAAGTGAAGCGAATATTGGTTCCCTTTAAGTTTTTGCTTTATATATACATTTGCAAATTTTAGATTTTTCATATTAGTTTTCACTTTTTTGTACTTACAAATTTCACTTCTAAACGGTAATGTTATTGAAATATAAATGTTATATATGTGTTATTTTTATTTTTGTTTTAAATTTTCATATGTTATGTATATGGTATGAATTTTGATTTATTTCATTCTTAAATTTATTGCTCATTAATTTAGTAAAAAATTATAATTAGAAGTTTTTTTTTTTTTTTTTTTTAATAACAACAACAATTTAAAATTCATGAATAATCCATTACACGTGTTGAATGATCTTAAAAAAATTCAATTAAAATTATTACAAATTCGTTTTTTTTTATTGAATTGTGTAATAAAAATTTACATATTGTGTCGTGTGAGGTTAAAAAAAAAATTGACTCCAATAACAGATTTTGTTATATTCCAAAAAAATTATAACAAATTTCGTTATACTCCGAAAAAAAAATATAACAAATTTCGTTACATTATGTCAATATGACAAACAGACCTAGTTTTGTTAACGCAAACTATTGCCTTAAACTCACCGTCACGTTTGATTCACCGTCGATAAGATTGAATGATTATCAAATCAGTTAACAACAAAATCATAAATATACTCCTCGGTGAAAACGATTCCAATTTATTGAGTGTGATAGAAAGAAAAGAGTTTTCCAAAAAATTAAAAATCCTCAATTTATTTCTTTCTAGATATTTTTTTTTTTTGGTTTTTGAAAATTAATTTGTTTCTTTCTTGATTGCTGCCACGTTTAACTTACGTTTCCGTCTGCTGATACTGAAGGAAGCTCCCGAACCGACAGCCTCTCTCTGTCCGTTGTCAGAACCATAAACCCCCAACAACTGTAGTTATATACGTCCAACCCCACCTGTTTCTCTCTCTAAAAGTCTACAGTCTTTGGACTCCTAGATCTTTCTGTGTTTGTGTAAATGGCTGTGTCCTCACCTAACGCAGACAAAATCGAACCTTCACAGTCCATGGAATCATCACCTTCAAGACGAGTGTCTGACGTTGCCCCCGACTTCTCAGGTGAACTCTCTTCCACCGCCGATTCATCTGATCCCAACACAATCAACCCTGATCTGTCCGATTCTTCACTAAACCCTTCTAAAGAACTTGAATTTCAGGTGCGATCTTACATGCAATTACGCCGCCTGTTTTTCTTCATTGTGAATTCAATTTTCTTGAATTTTTTTTTTTGGGTGGGGTTTGGTTCCTAAGAAAATGCAAGAACAGGGAAGATAAATGTGTATTGATATCGGAATCAACTGTAACTCTTTCTAATTTAGTGGAATGGTTGTATTGCTAGGCTCTTTTGAGTCAATTTTGGTGAAATATTTAAAACCCAATTATTCTTCTTTCTAATTGAGTGGTTTTGTTAACATTTTGTGATTGTGGTAATTGTATTACAGCCTCAGCCCTCTTTGAGAAGTGAGGAGTATCGACAACTGTTCCGTCTTCCGCCTGATGAAGTGAGTTTACCGTGTTTTTGTCATTGTTTCTTGAATTCAATAAGGACTTGCTATTATCCCCAGTGATTTTTGTTTATTAATTGTCAAACCCATCTTGAAGCCCCAACAACCTTTTTTTTTAAAAGCTGACGAATAAAGTGAAATGGAGGAGAGTTCATCTCTTCCATCAGTGTAAGAAGATAGCTAAATGTTCATTAATGTTGAAAATTTTATTTGTGTTTGAAGTTACTTGTTAATCATACTTAATGACCTGAACTGATTAACATGATTACCGAATTAAACCAAGACCGCTCCCCTCTTAAATATTTTTCTATTAATTTCTCCATGATCCTTGACTTTTACCTTATCGTTTAATGTCAAAATATGTCCATTTTGCTTTCAATCATTTTCTCTAAATGATTCAACAGGTCAACTGTCCGCCTCTTCCTTAGGTGATCTAGGAATCCATGTAGTAACTGCTGAAAGAGAAGTAAATAAATTTAATATCTTTCTCGACAAATGGACATAAAAGAAAGGATCAAGTGTGTTTGCTTTTCCGCCCACCCAAAGACACTATTAGAGTCACATTTGACAAACAATTGTGAAACCTTGGTAAGCTCTTCCCTAAGTCATTTCAAGAGAGCCAACAACAAAATATTATTTAGAAAAATTGAAATAATGCAACTGCACCAAGATAACAACTCCTTTTCCTTGATTATCTGATAGGTTTTGACTGGAACTGACTTTAACTCAAGCTTTACCGTCTTGGTTTAGGAGTAGTCAAAGTTGCTTTGTCAAATACCTTTGCAAAACTGGGGAGACATGCATTGTTTTCCTCGACTATATTCTATTTATTTTTTGTAGTTCATATAATTTTTTTTTAAATATATATATTTATTTATTTTTTCTCTTTAATTATGACTTCCATCATATGAATCCACACAGCTCTCTCTCTTGTAACAACACTTCAGGGTCGTGGTAGATTGCGTTCATATTATTATTTCAGATGTTTAATATCTCTCTCTCCTCTTATCTGTAGGTCCTTATTCAAGATTTTAATTGTGCATTGCAAGAGAATTTTCTTCTTCAGGTATCTTTAACCTTTATGATCTTATTTGGTATTTGATTTTGCGTGCTGCATATTATGCTACCATTTATTATCTTCCTATCAATTAAGATGAAACTATTTTTTTTTTTTAATTATATAATGAGTTCCTGACCAGATTTTTTTTTTTCCCAAATTAGTGCAAATTTTACAATGAATATATAGGTTAAAAGCTTCACAACTCTAAATCTTTTCTCATTGTCTTATGCTTTTGTTGCAGGGTCATATGTACCTGTTTGTTCATAGTATTTGCTTTTATTCTAACCTATTTGGATTCGAGACAAAGGTTTGATGGCCAACTCATCTTCAGTATTATTTTTTTAATATCTTTTTTATCATTGTTTTCCTTGTTCAGGTTATAGTGTTTTTTATTTTCTTAATCTGCAAAGGAACTGCTAGTTTGACTAGTACATCCAGTATCTGCATCCTTATTTTAGTCTTTTCTCTGTTTTTTTTCTCCATTAACTTGGATGTTTTAGTTCTCATTTATTAACATTTTAGGATAGCAAACTAGACATGTAGATGCATTGAATGTTTCAGAAATAATTAAGAAAGAAAGGTGATATCTTGATTGATTAAATTAGGGGAAACTATTACCCAGCATTAGTCCTGCTCATGTGGGAGGGGGCTGGAATGGGTACAAAGCTAAGTTTTATTGTGGGCTACTGGAACCTCATGATTTTACATTGGAAATGATCATATAAATTAAAATTGTTTTTTGAATACACCCAAGTAACGCGTGAAACCAATCAATGAAAGTAACAAATTATCTATATCCAGAAAGAGAAGTAAAACAAGAAGGTCCCATACATCAGACTGAATAACCACATAAGGAGCCATGCTTCTATTATTATTGCTAGGATAAGAGGTTCTCTTATTTTTGCAAATTCACAAGCATCAGAAGCAAAGTTATTCCTTTTGCATTGCTTAACTAAAGATAGGAAAAGGTCTCTCGAACATGCCAATGCAAGGATGTCCCAAATTTAGTTTTTGGAAAACAAAGCTACTCTCAGTCTGAAGGGCATAACAAGAAGATAAGCTTTGAGATGAAGGAGAAGATACTGTTGGCAGCAAATATAAACCGCCATTCGCCGTACCATTGACTATTGTTAGCCCAGAGTTCCTGAAAAATACAACAAGTAGGGAAGAATGTCACTGAACACTTTTAAGGACTTTGTGATATGACTAACAAAAAGCAAAGTAGTAGTAGTAGAAAATTTTGGGACATGTAGTACGGATGTAAGTGATATGGATGGTGAACAATGGACAAGACCCTTTCCAGCTACAAAAGACAATGAACCATCTGCAACTTTAAACTTATCCCTACTTGAGCATATAGAATAAGAGGAGAAAAGATTGGAAGAACTTGTCGTATGATCTGCAGCTTTAGAATTGATGATTCATGGATTAGAGTTTAGAGGGTGAAAAAACACTAAAAGCACTTGTAGATATACATGTATGAGCAAAATTTGAAGAGGATCAGCAATAGTAGAAGGCAAGGTAGATGGAATATCAAATTGACTGTGATTTTATGATGACCTTCCACTACTGTGTCACCAAGTGGGCGACCATGAAGTTTCCAACAAGTATCTCTAGCATACCTCTTTTTTCCACAGAAGTCACCCTTTAGTTGGTCCTTCTCAGAATTACTACTTTCACTGTCAGGATTAAGGCGTGGATCATTGGACTCCTCTGGCTTGCCTACTGCTGAACATATGCATAAGCCTGATGTAAGGAACAGATTCTACCAAGAACCTGAACGCAAATCTGATCATACTTCATATTAAAGTAGCTAGGAAATCACACCTGTTCTTTATGGAATAGCCTCCGCAATTTGATGCTATCACTCTCAGAGTCTGGTGGAAAATATTGATAATAATCTAACTCCTGCCATAGGCTACCCAGCTCGGCATAATACTTTGCAATAGACCTATTCCTATGTGTGTGGCTCTTGAATCTTTTTCCTTGGTTCACTGACCTGGGCATTATTCCCAATTTGCAAATTAGTATGAGCTAAACAATCCAAATAACACGGGCTGTATCATGGAAAAGACAATTAAAGACTGATGGGTGGCTGCATAGAGTATAATAACCAAGACATCACCAATGAATTTTCTAAGACCTACTGATCATATGAGGATGTGATAAATCTGGCTTTTTGCACTTTCCTGTCAAATATCCATATGAGCCACTGGCTTGGACTGATAACAAGCAAGATATGCCAAATAATTGTTCCATCGAACTTCATGGAATAATTTGGAGAGGGATAATCTCCTTCCCTGCATGACTTATCCTCCTCAACTACTGGTAGTGCCTGCACTAACCTCTGACTTGTCTACTCAGTAATATCGACCCATAGAGAGTGGAAGATACCAAGAGCACCCCAAAAAAAAACTCACTCACACCAAGTATCACTAAATGCATCAAATTCATACTCACAAGACTACTACAATAGGTCAGAATAGTATGAAATTAATATAACACTGATGTTGAAAGAAATAATATACCAAAGAAGCCCCCAGGCTTAGCCGCACCATGTATTGGACCAAAAATATGCCATATCAGTATCACCTTTCAATGAAATTAAACAAGAGGATTTCTGGGACCTAGGTGCATCCCTATGAGCTGGACTTGTCTGGAAAACTCCGAAATTGTAGATAACAAAAAACAGCCCTGATTTTTCAAAAATCATTCAAATATTGAGAAGTCACGTCAAATTGCCTCAACAACCACAAGAACAGGATCATAATTCTTTGAAAAATCAGGGAATCAACTCATATAGTTTTCATCAAGGTTGGCCGTAGCGGTGACGCAAGCACACTCTTCTTGTTTTCTCATGAGCAGTAGACTTCTCGGATGACTAGAGAACCTGATTAGATACTCTGATATGACTTGGATAGATTAGGGTTTGAGATACAATAGAGAGGAACAGAAGGAAAAGAGACAAATCGTATGAAAAAGGTTCGAGAGTGTTACTAGCACCTCTACACCCTTTATATATATATAATTGAATTAAGTACAATTACACAAATACCCAAGTACTAATTATGCACTAATCACTCTAATATTTGAATATTCCAACAAGTTTCTTTTTTAAAATTTAGACAATCCAGTTAATTTCTATGAAGTGTGTGATGTACCTTTTCTTGGTTGTTACTTATGATATTGACTGTCTATTGGAATTATAATTCAGAAAATAATTTCATTTCATGAAATCACTTCTGTACGAAGAGCAAAGACAGCGGGAATATTCCCTACTGCCATAGAAATCATAGCTGGAGGAAAGAAGGTACTGATCTGGCTTTAATTCTAGCATGAATTCCACCCTCTCCCCCCCAATCAACAAGTAACATTAAATGCAATTTTTTCACTCATCTATTGTTTTGGCAGTACTTTTTTACGTCTTTCCTGTCCCGCGACGAAGCTTTTAAGCTGATTAATGATGGTTGGTTGCAGCATTGTAATGAGGCTAAATCAATCACAGATCAACAGGTGTTTTCATTTATCTTACAGCTTTTTAGGAAGATAACTAGCATGCCATAAATGGTATTGTGAATTCATGGATAACATGTGCTTTTACTTGGAATTTCAGTTTTGGTATTTAAACATTTATGCATATTCAGAGTTTATGTTTTTGGCATTAAATTTCTCACTATATATTCTCAATCAAATGGTGTGGTTATTCTTTTTGATGGGAATGGTTTTATTATATTTGTTCTAGAAGAAGTTCCTTGCTTAAATACCGGGCAGTTGAAATACACTCTACCTTGAAGCTTAATCCTAGATTGATAAGTTAGCGTTACTGCAGGAATTAACCATCGTGTCTGATATATGCTTATGATCAAAGACAAAACTTGTTATTAGAGTGGTCAAAATTGTGAGTATGATTTGGGTGTTATATCCACAAGAGCTGCTATTGGCAACATCTGCCTTTTGAGATCATTGGATTAGCTGAGTGGAAATTTCATTATTCAACTGCGTTGCAGTCGTGGCTATTAACATTGTATGTAGTTAAATATATATTTATTTGGGCTTATATATTGTGTATCTGATGCAGGCAGAATTTGAAATGCAGAAATTTGGAATTCTGCCTGAATCAGTATCCTTTTTGGAGGTGGGGGAGGGAATTATTTCCAAAAATAGCTCTTTCTAAGCATGGGGAGTATTTCTTTTCGCTATAAAATTGGCTTAGAACTCCCAGATCTCGCTGCCACAATAATATAGAATTAGATGGATCTCGAAATTGTAAGAGATTCGAGTTCTGGCTTTCAGTGCCATCTCTCACGTGCTTGAGAATAGATTAGGATATGAAATATGACAATTTGAGCGCTCCCCCTTTGAGCTCTTTAATGAATTTTATTTATAATATATATGTGGCATGTTTTCAACTAATGAACGCGACAGTTTTTGGTGGTCTTTGTGGTGGAAATTAACCTTTGGTTGGTAGTTCTAGTGGGTTTGTTTGGGAAGTAGTGCAATTTGGTCAAGTTTGCAAGTTGATGTGGATAAGGTTGCCATTGTCCTAATTAAAGTGTAAGCTACAACTGTTACATAATATTGTGGGGTTTGGTTAGGTATCAACCACTCCCAATCTATTTAAAATTTTGAAAATTGTAATATTTATCTAGATTCATGATAGTAGCTGTTTGAGGAAACTGAATTTTTTAGTACATGGCACCTTAGTGTGAAATGTAGCCTTATTCGGTTGTGGATGTATCTTGTTGTGTGATGTTTGAGATATTATATTTTCTGAAGTTCTCTTTCTTGTATATTCCATAATTCAACTCGTTTCTTTTTTATGGGACACTATATTCTTTCTCGACTTTGAGAAGCTATTAACCATAAGAAGCTTTCAAAGAGACACGTCTCGTGAGAGGTCGCTTCACAAGGTCAGTATGAATGTGGTTTTGGAAGCTACGAAAGTCAATTTACATTTATAAAACCACTACTACTATATAGTATAGTGAGTAGGGATCGTCCACAGGGACTAGCGGCTTGATTCAATTTATAATTAGTGAACAAGTGATTCAATAGAAAAGGGAAGTTTGTTTAAAATCCTAATTAACAACTAACTAAACTAAAGCAATGCAAATAAAAAGAAAAGATAAAGGGATAACGGAATGGAGACAGGGAGAGACTTAGGTTGTAGAATCTACCTTTGGCCTTTTAATTGTACCATTGCAATCAAATTGGGGAAAATACTTGTGCAATAAAAGAATTGTGGCTACAAGCACACAATCATGGTTAAGAGAATATGTAAGTTGCATCAACAAGCATAACTCATCAAAGCTAAGCATGAATTGTCTACCTGCGTACTTCTTCACTAGTGTTGTAGCACAATCCATCAAATCTAAGCATGAACTATCAAATCAAGTGCAAATACATCAATTAAGCACCATTGTTTAACCATCACCCACACAACTACAAGAAGTGAAGATGTTGAGATCAATCAACCACAATCAATGCACAAGACAATGTAGAGATCATAAGAAGATTAATTAAAGCATTAAACACACAATTAATCTTGGTACAACTAAGTATAATTCACAAGGTTAAACAATCTACACAAATAATCCCCAAATTAAAAACAAATAATACAATACTTGGCTTAGGGCTTCATCCAAGCCCTAAGAGAAGAACTAGCTAGCCACGGAGAAGGATGAGATGATCTTTGAAGCTCCAATCGCCATCTCCAAGCACAACCAAAGATCTTCAATGGTGGAAGAGAGGAAGTCTAGAGAGAGAGAGTTTCCAAGCCTTGCCCCAAATCCTCTTCAATCTGTATCCGCCATCAAATGATGTTTCATCCTCCATAGATACTCTGATTTTTGGCTCTAGGATGGTCAGAACTCGGCCCAAGGATCATACAGTTCATGCACCGCAGGAGTTGGTTCGAAAAGAGCTCCAAATCTGAACTTAAAGGCAATCTGCCCCAAATCCGATCAATCGGATTAAGTGTCCGATCGATTAGAATCCGAACACAAATCCGATCAATCGTAATCCGATCACAAATTCTATTGATCGGGTTGAATAGTGAATTTTGCACTTCAGCCTTCTTTTGCTCCTTCCTCTTTGCCAAGCCTTTATAGAAGCTTTAAAGTACTAGATTAAGCCCTGATTAGCCCCAAGCACCTGAAATCAGAAATAAAACAAATTAAAACTAAAAAGGGGAAATTTTCTTGTTAATTGGTGCTGTTTATGTAAGCAAGATGGGGAGTCAGTTGATCATCTTTTACTGCATTGCTCTGTAGCGTACGATTGTTGGAATCTCATTCTTGGCCTATTTGGCATGTGTTGGGTAATGCCACGTTCTACTAGGGAGCTAATTCATACTTGGAGAGGTTGTCGTGTGAGTAGGAACGTTCGTGCTTATTGGAGATCTGTACCACATTGTATTTGGTGGTGTATCTAGAAGGAGCGAAATGGTAGAATGTTTGAAAGGAAGGAGTCGTCTACAGCGACACTGAAACTTTTTATTATTCGCTCTCTTTTTGTTATGTGAACAGAAGTTCGTGTTCCTCTTTTGTTGATTTAATTTCTTTTTTGGATTCTTTGGGGCCTTAAACCCCGGTTCCTTTGTCTACGGGACGCGTTCCCCTATTGAACGCCCTTTTTAATTTATTATTACTTATAAAAAAAAAAACTAAAAAGGGGAAACGAAGATAGATTAAGGTGCTAACATATGCAAGGATAAGGGCTGAAATGTGCATACTTCAGCACTTATCAAGATATGATCACTCATTTGAATCAATACGATGCCTTGTTGATGCAAACAGGAAAAACAGAAGTCTTCTTACAATAGTAAGGAAGACTAGAAATTCTCCAATCACCGTTGGAGCCTAGATTTCTACTGGGAAAAGCCTTAAGAGAAGTTTGTTCTATGAAAATAACTCAGAATGATATTGATAAAAACTTGATTACAACTGATAAAGAGGGCTGTCCCTTTTATAATACTACTATTAATGGCACTTCAGTTCCCTAGACTGACTTTTAGACTACCTACAGAGCATTAATAACAACATCTACTACTCCCATGATTGATTTGCATCACTTGTTGACTTCAAGGAGATCTTTGGTGCTTTTAGGTTTTGATTGGTGCTTTGGTGATGTTTTCTCAATGGATTTATTTGCTTTATGCTATTAATAATTGAAATGTGTTGGTATTTTGTGCCTTAGTATAAGCCTGAATGTTTCTCAGCCCGTGTTTTTAGAATGCACTGGACCAACTGATCGAACCAGTGAATAGTCTATATTTTGTTCTTTTTATTACCCAGAGTAGTCCTCATAATAGAGAGTGCTGGGAGAGCAGACATGATACAAACCTAACATTTTACATAATTTGCACAAAATGGATGTCTCGGGCTATGTTACATGGACTCTTCAAAAGTATGTCAAATACACAGTTTGGATACACGATACTCAAACAAGGGTATGGTATATGTCTCAGACACATTTGATTGGACATATACTTAAAAGGCATATCCAGTAATTCAACTTTGTCATATTATTGGTTTTAAACTAGTTAAATGCTTATTTTGAACACTATAGAGAATTGTTATTTTACTCCAGGAAAAAATACATATATTAAATAAGAGGGTAATTTACATAGACATCCCCAATGGTTTGTCATAATTACAGGGACCTCCCATCTGGTTTGGGAAATTACTCGGGCCTCCTCTAAAAATGAAACTAATCTACACGGACCTCCCTTCGTAGTAACGGACCGTCAAATGGATTAACGGACTTGTCTAAATTACTGACATACCCTCAAATTATTGACCTTAATATATATATATATATATATATACACACACACACACACACACACAATATCATCTTTACTTTTCTCGTCTTTGCTCTTTAACTTCTGTCTGCAAACCTACATCTCTCTCTCTTTAACTTGTGTCTACAAACCCAAAGCTCAATTTCGTGTGTCACGGTTCATCACGGCAATAAAACACATACATTTCCGGCGAGCTTTAATGACCATAGGAGTTCATGGTCAGAAGCTTTTCAGTTTGAGTATGTCTGAGAAATTCGCCAATTCAGTTGGATCTCTATAGCTCACCAGATATGCATCTATCACCGGTGGAAACTAATGAGGAGGCTTCTGGGTCTGTCACCGGTGGAAGCAAAGATGACGCTTTTGGGTCTATTACCGGTGGAAAACAGCGTCTATCACCGGTAGAAAACAATGAGGAGGCTTCTGGGTCTATCACCGGTGGAAGCAAACATGACGCTTCTGGGTCTATTACTGGTGGAAAGCATTGTCTATCACCGATGGTAAACAATGAGAAGGCTTCTAGGTTTATCACCGGTGGAAGCAATGATGACACATATGGGTCTTATCAACAATGGAAAATAGGGATAAAGCTTATGGGCCTTCAATAGAGCTCACCATTGGGTGTTCAATGCAACTCCACTAAGATAGGTCTTTAATGGAGTTATGTGCTCATCGCCGTTTTGGTCGTCGTAGCTTCACTAGTTGGATCTTTGTTGCTTCCTCAATGATTTCTTCTATCAAACTCTCTCTTTCTGTATGTTTTTCTTTGAAGCTCACCCACTGTGTGTATAGATATTGAAGCTCAGTTGGGTCAAGGTTTTGGAGTCTGTTGTAATGGTGGTGCCTGATTATTGGCTTGGAGAGAGAAGTGATCGGTAGTGCTTGAAGTAGCGACCGGTGGCGCGGTCACAGCCCTTAGTCTTCATTCTCTCTTTGGACATCGCTGTTGCTACAGTCCTCTCCGAGCACATAGCTCATCGACAGTTCCAACCTCCTTCCTCGTTCATCTCCGACGTCGGAATCTCTCTGGCCACTGTCCTCAACACTGTCCACCTTGTTGCACTGCCTGCATATCCCAAGCCTCACAGCCGCCGAAATCTATTCACGCCGTTCCGAGCTTGCCGTTCCTTACTGCCAACGTGCCGTTTAGACAGTGCTCGCCGTCTTCTTTATAGCCGAGCAAACCCACTTCTCGCTGGTTCACTTAAGCCGCATCCTCACTGGTTCAACTCACCTTACTACCTGCACTCGTCTCTTTCAGCTACCCAATAGAAGGAACGGAGGAAGAAATCGACCGAGTCAACTCATCCTCTTCATTGGACCTCTGTTCGCCGGAAAACGTTTCTTCCAACTCAATCCAAGCTGACCTTGACACCCCTCGTCATCATCACTGGTCACCACCACATGCTCGTCCTCATAGTTTCCGCCGACGACTATGTGGAGGTGTCGCCGTTCTGTTGATGTTGAGCATTGAGTATGCCGTTATGTTGCTGGAGAACAGTACTTGTGACGACGTGTCTTGCCAACTGGACTGCCACAGTCATATATGTGTGTGTGTGTGTGTGTGTGTGTATACTTCAATTAAGGGTATTATAGGAATTTTAGTATATTAAGTGCATGACGTCAGCACAATCCGCCATTGACTGACGTTGACTCTAACAGAAAGGAGGTCCGTGTAGGTTAGTTTCATTTTTAGGGGAGGTCCGAGTAATTTCTCAAATCAGAGGGGAGGTCCCTGTAATTATGGCAAACCATAGTGGAGGTCTGTGTAAATTACCCTTAAATAATATGACGAATTAGCAGTATTCCTGTATCTTTGTATTTGATGCAAACAAAACTCGGGTATGTATTTGTGCTCGATTTAGTTATCCGATTATAGGTTTCATAGGCTTCAAGGTCCAAACCCATGTTCTCATGCTTGTGTCATATGCTTATGTATGAAAAAAAAAATGCTACTTCGAAAGATGATAATGAATTTTTGGTGGAGTGGTAAGGAGAAATCATCCTAAAAATGAAGTGGGTGCTCAAGGGAATAATCAGGGCTAGTACAAACTTATGCTATGTTTGGCTGAAGGGGAGGATTGAGGAGGGATGGATAAGAGGAGGGATGGATGAATTTTTTCGTGTTTGGTTGGAGGGAAGGGAAGAGAGGGATGAAGCATGCATCCCTCCTTTTTTTATGTTTTTTTATCCGCCCAATTTTGGGGGGAAGAGAGGAGAGAGAAAATTAATAACTACCTACAAATATCAATTACCAAATTTAACCTTTTCAAAAAATTTGAAATAGATCTCTACCTTTTATAATTTTATAAAGTGAGGGTATATTGATAAAAAGAATATAAAAATGCTCTTTCCCTTCCTTCCAATCAAGCTAAAAAAATGTATCACCGCATCCATCATTTCTACTATCTATTGCATTCTAACAAACAAAAAATGGGAGTGACACCTTCCCTTCCCTAAGGATGCCTCATTCATTCCTCCAACCAAACGAAGCCTTAGGGTGTCTCTCAGGTCCAGTTTTAGCCTATCTTGATCTTTCAGAGCATTCCTTCCTCGCATTTTTTTTATAAAAATCAACCTTTTGTTTTTCCAATTAATATAAAAGAGCATGGGAAAATAGAGGCAGCACCTGCCAAAAAAAAAACCGGAAACTTGTTCTTTTGGCTCACAAGCCTCACATACCTATCGAATTTGTTAATAATAGTTAATATACTTGATTTTTTTGGGGAAAATTGGCCATGATGAAGTTTGAACAGTCTTATATACCATTTAGAAACTGAACCTTATTAAATCCGCTTTCACCTGTTCTGTTTCATTTGCTCTTCTTTTTTATTTTTTAAAAATAAGATTATTCATATTTTTTATTTTTTATTTTTTCTCTTTGGGTATAACCCCATGAACGTGAGTTCAACATGAGGTCTCATGCTTGTTGGGGAATTTAGTGAATGAACTTTGTAGCAGATCAGAAAAGCTTTGTAGCAGATCAGGATCGACGCTTTTTTCGTACAATTAAAATTATGATTGTATTTATAAAATGGTCGAACTTGGGTACTTTTCATCTTTTTGAGTTAGATTCATTATTGTTTTTTTCTTTTGTTTTATTTTATTTTTATAATTATTTTTTTTTGTGGGAGTGTCGCTTACATCTATTTCGATGATTCTACCACAGGAGTCAAAGTCTGAGTTAAATAGCCAAGAAAATGGAATTGTTGCAACTGAAAAGGCCAGTGACTCCATTGACTCCAAACTCCCAGTAGATGAGCCAGCTCTCACTGAAGGGTATTTTCTAAAACCAATATTATTCAGTTCAGTTCTCAATCATTTTGGTCTTACTGCATGAGTGTGTATCAGGGGCAAAGATGTTTCTATTTCAGAAGATTGTAAGCTTCCACCTAATGGTGAAGCTGAAACTGCATCTTCAGGAGCATCTGAATATTTAGAAGAGGATTCAGAAGTAGTCGTAAATCCTTGCTCTTCATCTTCTATAAGAAGTTCGGTATGGGAGCAGGATAATTCTGATGCGCCTAAAGGTTAGGATTAAGTTTTGACTTCATTTATCATATGCATCTGAAAGTCACAACTTTACTGGAGTTGAGCACACATTGCACTTAGATATTTCTAGCAAAGTGGTTATGAGATTGTTGATTTGTTTCCACTCCTCAGTTTTGTGTAGTTTCTTTTAGTGACCATAATTGACCTTATGTTGCTTTATGTCTCTGTAATGAAGATTGATTATCACAATGTTAAGTAAAACTACATACATCACATTGTGTATATTTGTTATTTTATGTCGGACAATACTTGCCTACACACCGGTGAGTAAGAATCTCCTACACACCACTGTTGTGGCACAAGGAGAACATGACAAGTGTCTCATTTAATTTTAAAATTAAAATAATAAAAATTAAAGAGGCAACCAGGTTTTTTTTTTTTTTTTTTGATAAGTAAATTGTATTAAAAGCGTTCAAAAGGGGAACGTGTCCCAAACTATACAAAGACAAAACGGAGCCTATGAACTCAAAGAGCTCATAAAATCAACAATATCCTCAAGAGAGGAGTAGTCTCTCCCCTGACCCCAACAAAACAAATTACAAATGATAGAAAATTTTAACACCCCAATGGAGGATTCCTTTCCCTCAAAAGATCTTCCATTACGCTCTCTTCAAAGGCTCCACCAAATACAAAAAGGGATCACCCTCCAAAAAACTCTGGCCTGAGCCCCCACCCATTGGCCCCTCCACATATCTAACAACTCCCAAGATGACCGAGGCATGACCCAATAAATACCAAACAGGCCAAACATCAAACTCCAACAATCATGAGCCACAGGACAGTGCAACAAAAGATGATCCACCGACTCCCCATTAATCTTGAGTAATTGGATCCCAAACCCTAGTCTCTTCCTGTTCGTTTACTCCAGCATCTACCTCCCTCTCATTTTCTCTCTCATCTTCAAGGATCAAATTCATGCCTTCCTTTTGCTGTCTATGTCAAAGAACTTGCTACTAGTTCAATTGCCTCCGAAGACACCCCTGCTCTTAATATAAAAACTAAACAGAAAATTATAAATCCTGTAAACATAAAAGTTTTCCATCAAACCCAGAATTCAGTTACTTCAGTATGTATATTTAAACCAATTTGTAGATTCACTCGGTATAAATCTCAGTTCATCAACTGAAACGGTTAATTAGTAAACAACCATAGCAGAGTGCAAATTAAAGTCCATAGAAAACAGAATACTAAGTGTTGTATTGAGTATTAATGTAGAGGAAAGTTGAATTAGAGGTCAATCCAAATACAAATTGTAATTTTAATCGTCATTGTGGTCATAATCGAGACTAGTCGAAGACGAATCAGATATGTAGTAATAGTAGGATTAAAAAGAGTCCGGTGGAGGGAGGCAAATGAATGTACAGACTGCAGAGGCATATCAAAAAATGACCCAACTATTTATTTCTGTTAATACTCTCCTTGCCTATACAGGGATGCTGCGGGAATTTGGAGGAGACGAATGGAGAGAGAAGATTAAAATTTTAGATCCGGTTACCCCGACAACAATGGATTAAACCCGGTTTTCTTTTAAATTTTTAAAATTAATGAGGACACTTGTCATGTGTGTAGGCCAGTATTGTCCTTTTATGTCCATCTGATAACGCACTTTAGCATCCATTACCACATAAATAGTTACATCACAAATATAATATTTGCAATTGTGTCTACTTGTCAAAAAAAAAAAAAAAAAAATGCAATTGTGTGCCTTCATATTTTTGCCAGAAGGTATGCATGCATTCATGCCCCTTTGAAGCAGATTCACCACCAGAGGTCTCATGAGTCATGATCCATTATTCTATACAGTTATAAATGCTACACGTTTAAGTTACTATATCCATGTCCTTTTCTTTTTGTAAAGCGCATTTTATCACCCCAGGTTTAGTAATCCATGAAATTATGTAATTATTCATGCTACATGTGTGGTGTGTGTGAGACATTTTTTTTTGGCTTTGAGGGGTGGAAGGTGGGGAGTCAAATTTAAATATTTTACTCATCAACGTCATGAATTGTTTTTAGGTCTTAGCAATTTGCTTAGGTAATATATCTCATTTTGTACTTATACTTTATGCTACATGCTATTAGTCAAAATCATTTTTCTAGTTTATGTTGAATTGGTTATTTTCTGATTTGCAGTACCTGAATATTATACGAAGGTTGCAGAATCAAAGTTTCCGGTAGTAAGCTTGTTTGTAGAATTATGTTATGTTGTAAAAATATTTACTTTTCTATTTTTTATTTTTTTTAATGTAAGTATGTAAGGAAAATATTCTGATTTTCATTTTCAATTCTTGGGGTGCAGATAAGGGTAGAGGAGTTCTTTAATCATTTTTTTTCAGATGATTCTGTTGTCTTTACTGAATCATTTCACAAGAGATGTGGAGATAAAGGTACCTGATATCAATTTTTATGGTTATTCTCTCTTTCCCTCTCTCTAAAAAGTTTATTTATTTGGTGAATTTTGGTTGATTTTGATGAATATGGAAGAGGTTATTGTTTAATAACTTCACTCTGGTGCTTTTCAGATTTTAGCTGCAGTTCATGGTATCCTCACGACGAATTTGGGCATGCTCGTGATGTGTCATTTCAACATCCTATTAAACTTTATCTTGGTATCACCGTTATAAATTGTCATAAAATTCAAATCTGTTTTATTTTTTATTTTTTAATTTCCTTTAATGGAAGTTACACTGTTTTGGTGTCTTAGCTTTAGTATCTCTGTTTCCATCAGGTGCAAGATTTGGTAGCTGCCAAGAGTTTCAGAAGTTTCGAGTTTACAGAAACAGGTAGCTAATATTTCTCTGTGGTTTCCTATAGAAAAAGAAACAAGGTGCCAATATGATCATGAATTTCCCAACAGTAATTAGTAACTTTTTTGTCAGTTAAGTCTACACCATTAAATAATTTTTATTACTTTTTCTACATCGACAACAACTACTGATACTACCCTTCTATTTTTTGTTTGACGAGTATGCATCCTGTACCTGATCTCTGTTTACTCTCAATAATTTTGATGCTTCAACGTTGTTGCATTTTATGTCATGAAGCCCTTGTCAATTTCATATTTAATCAACTAGGTCTACTGTTGCATTTTACACACAAAGATTTAGCGTGGTTCAGCAAAGCCTACATGCACGGTGAAGATTTGGCGAAAGTTTTCACTATGTTAAAAATAGAAGATTACAAGTTTCAGCCTCCAAACCCTAGTTCTCGCTCTCTTTTTTTGTGATTTTCAGTGTGTCAATAATTCCACTCCAAAACCCTAAGCACCCTTATATATCGGGCTACAAGAGAGTAGAAAATAGGGTCCACTACCTGCAAGCAAAAAACCAGGTCATTCAACAGGTTGTTGGGTCGACCCGACACCAAATTCGGGCCACAACATCACATCTTGGGGAATTCATTTGTTCCACTAAAAAGCGCCAAGGGAGCGCAACCATGTACAAGCAATGTAAATATAGAGAAAGAGAGGAACAAAAAGAAAAGAAGCTCTAACTTAGCTCTATCCCCATACGTCCCAATTCCCAAAGTATTGACTAATGAATCAAAAGAATAGGAATAGCTTCCTGAAAGTGAAAAATATTGGGTTATAAACAATTTCTTCAGCTTCCAAAGCAGTACCTATACACCCTAGAATTCCTTCTATATGCAAACCATAGGCACAGAGGCACTGCAACCCACATAACTCACCCTATGAGTAGGATTACAAAAACAAACCCCTTGGGAAGGCAGTCCCTAATTACCTAATTACCAAACTAGGCACTACATAATGTAAACCCTACAAGGAAAATTGACGTGATCATAAACCTTATATTAACAATTGGTTCACCATCTCTTCTGCCCCTTGCACGTACAATGCCAATTAGCTTAACAATTTATGTTGATTCTATAGGCAAATAAGAGTCTTACTTAAATTTTAGATTACTTGGTTTCGTTGAATTTTCTCAAGTCACTCGTCCGATGCACTTAATTAAATTCTCCATCATTCCCCCAACAATTAATGATGTTCGCGGACCACTATAATATACCATAGAAAGAATTCGTACCTTGATATTGAAAGTGTCATGACTCGCCCCGCACTGTCTAGATATTGTCTGCTTTGCAATCTCCTCTCGGTGCTTACTGTTTTTGAAACGTGTCTGCATGGTTAAGGGGTGTCCATACAAGACACATAAAAGTCTTAGCAACTTCTCCCTCCTAGGCGATGTGGGACGTCACAATCACCTCTTGTTGGGGACACATCGTCCTCGCTAGCCTGACCTGCATGGGCTTGTTCATTCCCCCCGTTTCTGGTTGGGGATTGGCACTGATACCATTTGTCACGACTTGCCCTACACCTTGTAAATATATTCCGCTTTGCATATCCTCCTCTCGGTGCTCACGGTTTTGCTCAAAATGCGTACAAATGCTAGGAACTTCCCCCACTCCTTCCGTGGCTCTGATACCACTTGTCACGACTGGCGACTCGCTCCGCACCGTGTAGATATTGTCCGCTTTGCATTCTCCTCTTAGTGCTCACGGTTTTGCTCAAAACGCGTCTACATGGTTAAGAGATTGTCCACACATAAAAGTGTCAGCAAGGTTGGGGATCGGCATTGACACCATTTGTCATGACCTGTCCCACACCGTGTAGATATTGTCCGCTTTGCATACTCTCCTTTCGGTGCTCACGGTTTTGCTATGTGGGACGTCACATAAAGGTCTAATGAGCCATCTTTATGCTGAAAATGCTTTTTTGGATATACTGCTAAATAGGTCAATTGCAGAAAAAATAGCCTGCACAAACTACGTTGCAATTCTGACCTCATTTTAACTTGTCAAAAATGCTTGTATTATACAATTCAGTTCTAAACCAATGAGAACCTAATTTTTGGAAAGTCTTCTCCCAAAAGAAGGATGCATCTTTTTGATGTTTGTGAGGGGATTTTGCCATTGTTGAGTTTTGGATTGTAGTTATAGTTTGTTAAATATTTCATATTGGTATAAGAACAAGATGTGTATGGACGGCCCATTCTTTCCTCACCTTGCCTTGTGGAAGGAACTCCTCCTCAGCCCCGTCCTATATGCTGTGATGTTTAGGCATCTTGAATCCCATTTTTGGCCTCAACAAATCCTTCTAACCAACCTGACCTGTTTGGTTCTATCCCATTCTACTTGTGGAGAATGAATAGAAAGATGAATGTGTCAAAATCGAGGATACTTATGAAGAAGAGAAGGAAGAGTTATGATATTGATGAGAAAGTATCCACTAGGGAGATATCTCGCGTATCTGTTGTTGAGAGCTAAATTAATTAGGTTATGACACTAAAAAGACCTATAAACACAACGTCAATTGACCAAAGGCATCGATTATAGAATAAAGAGTAACTTGGAATTCTCAAGTAAATGTGGGGCTCTTATTGTAATCTTGATGTTGAAATTGGTGGGTTGGGGCTGGGAATATCTTGTCCAATGCCCAAAATTGGGGTGTCAATTAGATACGTCATCAATAACACATGTCCATTGCTATATTGGATAATATTCACCACCAACTAATAATTAACTTCTATGAAACACAATCCACAATAAAAATCTATAACAGTGATTCAAACACACATGCTAAAAATCATAATATCCAACTTCCTAACCACAGCAAGACAATCCTCACTACGAAGGTCTTCTAGCAATATATAAACCGCCAATTGCTACGCTTGCACATGACGCCATAAACGATACTCGAGAGATTCACCCTTTCCTGGAAAAAGATATCTAGTGAGAAAATCCTCAACTACCATTATAACAAAGCCAATGAAATAATGCTACTCTGTCACATGCCTTTGCCACATACCATGTCAACAAGTACCTATAAGACAGTAATGGTGTGGTCTACAGTGGAATGCCTACTCAAACAACACAACCTATAAATACCTGATGTGGTATACAATCCTCAATTCCTTAAAACCAAAATAATAATGATAATAGTAAATGGAACCACTCTTTATATGCCCATCCAGGATTCAATCGTCATCCGTACCCCTATCCTCATTGAAAATGGGACGAGGTAAAGAGGGTGCTTACATGAATACCCTTATTCAGGATTGCTATCATTTCCTGTAGTAGTCTCTTTTCCATCAGAATTATGAATAGAATGGGTGAGGTAAATGATGTCAAATTCCAGCATGCTTCATTGTAAGAGGACATTATTTGGAGTTTTAGGACCAAGAGTCAAGGGTTTGGATGGTGCTTAACTGGCATATTTTGCCATTTGAAGCATGTACCTGTAGTAGTGTGGCATTAACTAATTTTGGCCTAAAATCAATTGAAGTCTAACAATATTGATTAATTCCTTTAACAACTAGATTAAGTGTTACTTCAAAGTGGGCAAGTCACTTGGCCCTGGTGCCTCATGAAGTATCAAGTCTAAGGTTTGACTCCTCTTGGGTGTAAACAATTCCTTGGAAAAGGGGGGGTGGGGTGGGGAAGTTATTGCAAATTCATATCAAATTTATTATTTTTTCATTTTTCTTTTTTTGGGAAGTTAAAGTGGAATGTCAATTTTAAAGTCAGAAGTCATGCAAATTGGTTTAGGTTTCCCAGAGGTTCAATTTTGAGGTGCCTTCAGTGGGGAGTTAATGTAAAGGTGGAAGTTGTCAGTGGGAGCTTCTGGACAATCAGCTGTTTGATGCAAGGCTATATTTTGAATGATATAAAAGTGTTGTCATAATTTGAATGTTTTATTCACCAATAAATGTTGACAAGGGGAACTGCATATATTGAAGTGCATGCATAGTGTGAGGTTGTTAGAGATGATTGTTTTGAGTTTTTTATTTTTATTTTTTATATATATATTTTTTTCCATATTTCTTTTCCTTTTCGTTGTGTATGTGTCAATATTTTGTTCATTTCCCTGTGTCAATGCACTATGCAGTAGTTACTTCTTTGACATTTTTTTACTTCAATTTATGACAGTCATTTGGTTTTTGAAACATCACAACAAATCAGTGATGTACCTTATGGAGATTACTTCCGTGTTGAGGTACGAGCTATGTCTAGCCTAATTGATTTGGATGGCATATATAAAATGTTAATATTCTATACTGATATATATATATATATATATATATATATATATATATATATATATATATTCCCTTTTTGCTAAAGGTTTTGAGATTTCCTGTTAATTTTGTATTTATTTGATCAAAAGTAGTTGAGGCCTTTGAGCTGGTATATTAACTGAGGCTATATTGAATTAAGATTTCAATTTGGTTATGAGCTGTAGTAGAATATTGGATCAGTATGTCCTTTATGTCCAGTTTAGTACCACCAAACACCCTCTACCGGAAATATGAATTAGCGAGACAACAACTCACAGGTACTTTTTATGTTAACAAGTAAGAGGAAAAACACCCTGTACTGGCATCAGTACGGAGTTTAACAATTATTATTATAATGTAACCTTAGATGCTCCTATTTAAGCTATTCAAAAATAAAAACATATGATACGCGTGGTGATTTAATTAGTTTCTGTAAAGATAAAATGCAGAACATAAAGTTCAAGTCTTCCTAGGAGCCACTTTCGTCTTCACCAACACACAACTGGCTAGCACCTAAAAGAAAAAGGGAAGAAGAAAAGAAAAGGAATTTTTCTGGCAATTTGTTCTTGAGATTGTAGAAAGCCTATGAAAATTTTCATGCATTTTTTTTTTTTTTCTCTCTTTTGCTTTTGTTTTATCTTTGATTTTCTCAGGCACTTTGGGATATGGAGAGAGATGGCGATGAATCAAAAGAATGTTGCATTTTGCGGGTATATGTCAATGTGGCATTTTCCAAGAAAACCATGTTTAAAGGTGTGCCTATTCGGAATACCATATATTACCTTTTGTTAAGTTTGGGTCATGCTTGATATTTACACTGGTGAACCACAAAATTCTGTATATTAATAATTTGACTGCAATGATGTTTGTTTATATTAAATGTATTAACAATTTATGCTTATTACTTTGTTTCAGTTCATATGTATCAAATGTAGCCAAGCTTGTTGAAGAAAAATGGTCCCCCCCTCCCCCCCTAAAAACCATTATCACCACAAACAAGAATGTTAATACAAATTGATTCCATGTTACACTTTAAGTTCCTTACAATCATAGACTCGGAGTGTAAATGTTAGGTTATTATGAGGGCCATATGGTACTAATTTTTTAAATAGGGAAGGCAATATGTTAATATTTTTTGTTAGTGCTTTCCATGTCTAATTTTGCAAACTCCATTTTTTTTTTGGTTGCAAATTTATGATTGCGCAAAGATATATGTGATGCTACTATGTTTAAGCAACATTTTCTGAAATATGTCTCATTTGTTTGGAAATTTCTCTAATATGGTAATTCTTTGTTGTTTATTTAATATGATTAGTGTTAAGAGTCACGAGTCAACATTGGAAATCAAAATATTACATGAATAACTGGTAGCCACTTTTTGGTTAGTCTATATCATTATATTCATGTTTTGTTTGTGACAGTTAGAATACATAGTGTTGGTAAATATAATTAGTTGGGGTCTTTAAAATATTGACTCGTTTGTTTAAAACTATCAGCAATACTAATTTCAATGGATTATTTTTTTTTTCTTCCTGCGTGTGTGTGGCGGCTACAGATACTTTGAACTAACCACTTGTTAGCTTATTGATTGCTTAGATGAGCTTCTGATGCGCGTAATCTTACCTCACACTATCATCATCATCATCATCATCTCTCTCTCTCCCCCCTTCAATTGCCATCTGTTACTCTCTACAAGCCTTTTCCTTTTGACATACCAAGTGAGCTTCAATGTGATTCATGTGTGTCACTAGCGCTTCAGACTTTGAGAATGAGCTGGTGGGTTCTTGGTCATGTTCTGTTGAGGAGCTTTATCTTATTCTTATTTTGAACAATCTCTCAATGGTTCTATGCTCACAAACCTTTTAGAACCATGCTTATATCTCTTTGTTTAGCTATGTTGAATTTTAGCAGAAATAGCTTGTTATTTGCATTCTCCTGAATTCGGTTTCTTGTGATGTTTTTTCATTCCAAAATGCTATTTAGAACTTTTTATAAGCATTTTTCTTGGATTTTGGTTTCTTTGATGCCAAGTGGCTAATTTTTTGCAGGGAAAATAGTGCAGTCTACCGTGGATGAGTGTCGAGATGCTTATGCGATTTGGATAAATATTGTACCCTCTTTCTTCCTATTTCTTGCGTGTTGTTGAATTTGCTGTTTATCAGAGTCTGACAGTCTATTTAAGAACTATGTATGAACTTTTTCTTCAGGCGCATGAATTGTTGAAGCAAAAGAAAGTTGAAAAAGATGAAGGTGCGATTGTCAAAATAACATTTATATGTAACAAGATACTGCAATACTTGTTTACGCTTTAGGCGATGCTTATAATAAAAGTACTAAATTTAATTTATACATAATAAAGCAGCAGAAGGTTCTTCAGTTGACTTGATTCCAAATGGTCAATTTCTTGAAAGGCAATCAAAAACTGGGGAACAATCAGAAAATTCTCAGGAGGAAAGTGACTTGAGGGTCTCCCAGGTGTTGCCAGATTCCGAGGTTGTTAACGTACAAGGTGGCGATCCCTTGCAAAGAAATTTGAGTGGTGCTACTTCAGTTGCATCTTTATTTAGAGAATCTATGGTCAAGTTCTATCTGTCTTTGAAATCTCAGAACCATGTTCCACTACTTTTTGTTATCACATTTGCTCTGATCCTTCTTCTGATGCAGGTACATAATTTCTTACTAGCAATTTTATTTCATAGATATATGTTATAAAGTAATTGAATTAAGTTGTTAATGCAAATTATTGTTCATTCCAATGAATAGGAGATGAGTATGATAGTATGGATTTTTCTCTCTGTAGATATTGAAATTGTGATATATCACATTTCATTTGCTGATGAGATGATACAAGGTTCTGATTTGCATGCCCTGTTGCTGATTATTTTCATAATCTTCTAGTTATGTTATTATTATTAATATTATTGGTTTTTGATTTCTTGGTTGGAGGTTATTTAAATTATTCAACTAGTAAAATTTTCTTATATTGATGCAATCTGATGTAGTTATAGGTAACTACTGTAAAAGATATTTACACTATAAATACTTTACCCTTTTTTTAATTTTAAATAATATTGCAGAATATCAGTGTGTATCTTTTATTATATGGAAAATAAGCGCGAGATTTTTTATTATGTGTAGAATGTTTGCTAGATTTTCTTCCTGCTTCCGTCAGATAATATTGACTGGAAATTAGTGTATGTTGGTTTGCAATATAAATGGTGTTTTGAAGGGTAAATAATCAAGAGTACAGTTTATTATATTATTACTACTAGTATTGTTATTATTATGGCATTTCAAAATGCAAAGTTCTAAAAGTTAGTGGATTAAAACCAAGTTTCTGTAAGTTTCCTGGTTTTTCTAACAAAATGGTGCGTTTTATGAGCTGGAAAAATTTAAAAGTTATGTTTTTTAATTTTTAATTTTTTAAAAAATCTTTCCTTTTTCTATGCCTTCTAAAGAAAAACAACAGGAAATTGAGTGCATTTTTATTCAAAGCTCAGTCTTGACTGTTTTCTGGAATTTCAGAATTGTTAATTGATAGTGCTTCTAATTCCTGGAAGTTCCTTATTATGATTATTATTATTTATAAGTAGAAGTTCCTATTTATTTTTCAGTCTTGCCTGGGAATTTGTTGAGATGTTTCTTCTGAGGCAATTAATGAAAACTTAGCCAACTTTGTGAAACTTGATCTTAACCTTGGGTGTATACTTGAGTAACCTTTCAATAATTAAAACTCTTTTTCTTGATGAAAATCTCTAAATATAAGTTACACTTGGTGCCAATCAAATTTTAAATATCATATCAAAAGTAAATTTCTAATGGAAGTTCGGTGTAAGTGTGACTGCTTGTGTTCTATACATAATTTATATTTACTAAATCTCCTGTTACTAAATATAAGTTTTTTTAGTAAGTTATGCTTAAATTGTATTAGAATTATACGTAGTAATAAGTTTCTTAATGAGGATAATTCCTATCTTTGAAGCATGGACACAAAGGGACGGGGACAACAAATTTTTTAAACGTAGGAATGGATTGGATAAGGAGACTAATATATAAATGTTTATTCATATTACAAATAGTGTAAATGTTTATACAATTTGTAATATATATTTATCTATGTATAAAATTTAAATAATAATTGTTTGTCATGTTATAATATTATCACTAGGAATCCCATATACATTTTTTTTTCCGACAAATAAGCTTTATTATATTGCATGAACTTGAAACTTTGGATGGATTAATAAAGCATGATGCATTCTCCCTTTTGACATGCTTTTGTGTCCTATAGTCATGCTAAGACAAGCAATTCCTATTTTTCTATGCACACATTCAACTGAGGTTTCATTGTGAAAAAGTTTGAGCCTCGTCAGAGTCCATTACCAATTATGTTCCATCTTAAAGTTATCATGAATGGCATTTGAGGTTTGGCTTTAGGAGTGGGAACTTTTTGAATTTTAGAAAAATTATATGCCACAAGCTCAATATTTTTTTCAACATCTGATAGAGGTGCCATGTTCGCTATAGTTTTCATCATGTAAAGTTTCCTTTGTCTTGTTAGCTGCTGGTTGACAAGACTCCGTTCCATATATTGCATTAGCTTCTCCTCATTATTTGTGTGGATTGTCAGTTAAAGTATTCTTTCTTTTCCATTTGCTTTCTTAATATAAGCATTCTGCATCATGTGTTATAAGCCAATTGGCATTATTAATCTCTCTCTCTCTCTCTAACATTGCTTCCGTCTCTATAACATTTAAATTCTCTGTTATAATCAATCTAATTCTTTTGGCCGACTCTTAATTTGTAGAATTTTGTTTGTGTTTCATTTGCTGCAGTTGAGCATTGTCGTTTTACTAACCAGACCCCAACAAATCCAAGTGTTTCCTCAAACCGACTGTACGGGCAGCAGCTCGGGTAACGTAGGTGAAAGAGGAGCGGAAACCGTGGCTTGGATGGAAAAGCGGATTCACCATCTCAAGGATGAAATGCTCATGATTGAGACGCTACTTGAAAAAATGGGGCATGAGCATACATTATTGAAAGCACAACTGAAGGACCTAGAGCATCTAAAAGATCAATATAGATAGATAATAGCTGACACTGTATGTATAATTATTCTTCTGTTTGCTGGTAAATTCTCACACTTTTTTTTATTTGTTCAAATGTAAATTGTAAGGATGTGTAGTTGGATTCTGAAGAATAAATTGTATACGGACCTAATATATGGATGTTCTTTTATTTTTCTATTTTTGTCTTTGGCTCTGAATCCTATTGATGATAATTTGGGTCAATCCGAGAAATTGAACAAAGAGCTACTGAATTATGTGATCAATTTTTTCTGGATGCATCAAAAGTAACAAAGCAATTATGACGTCGTTTACTAGGTTTTTATTTTTATTTTTTTGGTTAAATTGGGAGTAAATATCTTTATGCATTAATTGCATGTTAGAAATTTCAGATGTTATTTTTTTAAAAATTTAATTTAATAGGAGAGGGAAAAGAGAAGAGAAAAGATGATTGCTGTTTGAAAATTTAGGAGAAAAAAAGATATTAAGGAAATATATTTATTTTTATTTTTATTTTTATTTTATTGCAAAGGGAAGAACATAAAATCAATATGGAATAAAAAAGCCACGTGACCCACGTGCATGTGTATTTTATTATGGAATCTGTAATTGTATTGTCATCTTTTTGTTAGCAATTCCCATAACTAGTTAGTATACATGTTTTAACCCTAGTTCAATAGCTATTAATCATTTTAAGCAGCTTTTCTAGATATTACTTTCAATTAAAAAATATATGTAGCTTTTGATGTCAATATTTGTAATAGAGGATTCCGTTTCATGTACAACATCGCATTTAATATACATCATCATCATTGCATAGCGTCGAATTTAATGTACATCATCAATCACATTTAGAATTTCGATTCTAAATATGTGGTGGTGGTGACGGAAGTTTAAGGATTAATTTACTTTTAAATCATATCTATTGATTGAACATTGGTGAAAGTAGTTTGGATATCCGTATCCACATAGTATGGTGGTGGGTGTCTCAAGTCACAATCTAGGGCTAGGAAGGCCTAGTGTTTTGAAGAATAATAATAACAATAATAATTGGTCGGATAATAAGACAAACTACAAATATCTTTTGATCCCACATTACTACACAACCACGTGTCTTATACCTGAACTACTACTCTTCCCTACTAGTAGCATAATCTACACATGCTAATGTCATGTGTGTGTGTGTTTCACGTTGGTGTATTTTGTATTATTTGCATAAATTTACAGTTACTTTCCCTACCCATCTCATCATTATTCGACAATACAAATAAATGGAGTCGAAATATGAAACATTTTTTTTTTGATGAAGTGGGTCGACTTCTGAGCTGAGTTAGGACCACATTTTCCACTTATTCGATTCCATCTAAAAATTTTACTACATTTTTTAGTTTTTTTACTCAACTGTAAGTAAAGTTATACAAATATCTTACCAAACCAACTATAAAAACATTAATGTAATCATTTTATTTTCCATTTCTTTCTTATTAGATTGTGAATTTATGATTCTTTGAACTATCATCGTATATAATTCGAATCTAAAACTTAATATTTAATAAGAAACTAAGTTTTACGGTTGAAACCGACTCCCTAGTGTGGGTACTTGTGTGTGCGTGTGTTTCACGTTTATAAAATTTTAAATCTATTCTAAATTTAAAAGAAATTTATTTTTCCATGATGGAATGGTCCAGAGTTTCCATGAAAATGAAATATTCAAACTGTCACTTTCTAATTTAAATAGTCAAATTAAAATATGTCGTTCATTGGTGGAATGGTTAGTGAAAGCTTAGTTAACTGAACAACACCGACTAATGTACTACTCGGGGTCTTAGATTGGACTATATGTACATGTATCTATCAATGCATATGAGAAGTCACAAGGTTAGGTTTCTCTGATTTTTAGCAAATTATTTATGTGTGTATGTGTGTGTGAGCGAGTGTGTGTGTTTCACGTGTTTGTAAATTTTGTTGGCGGATGAGAGTAAGAGGGGTAACTGGTCTCTTGCTTTGCAGCATCAACATCACTCCTCTCTCTCTCTCTCTCTCTCTCTCTTCCATATAGTTTGTGTACTCTTCCTCTTCTTGTTTTTTTTTTAAAAAAAAAATAAGAATTATAAGTTATAAATTATTTCTATCACCATTTATCACGTTTGTTATGATTACATAAACCATTTAAGTACAACTGTGTTTTCATATTACAAAATTATTCATTATTGCATAATGATTTATAGGGAATGTTAAGAATATCTATACACTTTCCGTTGCTACTAAATTTTGTAAAGAAAATTATACAGATATATAAATGGTGATGTGACATTTTGTTCATTTCCGATCACAAATTACAAGACGATGGACAGGGAGTTTGTGAACAATGTTTTTCCACCTCATTATAAATATTTTTCAAAAGACTATTTTAAAAAATAAGCAGCATTTTAACTCCATATCACTGTAAATATGTCTATAAAAATCTCCAAGTCTCTACATTAGGTTCCTTTTTTGGGTTGTTTATGGTTATGAAAAGATACTCCTTGTGTCTAATTTGCAAAAAATTATACAAAATTTTTCTAAAATGATATTCACTCATTCAACTCATAAAAAGAAATGTATCCTTTTCATTTAGAAAGATCCAAAAGTGGTGTATATTAATTTTCATTTCAAAAATTACTTAAACAAGCATTGAGTGGCAAAGAGACCAATAAATACTTACATGAGATGAAGTAATTAAAAATATTTTTTAAAAATTAAATTTAAGATAAGATATTATATATAATATTGTGATAAGAAAAGAAAAAAAGAGAATTCACGTCCTGGACCTATATGAGATAAAAGCTTGAATGGTGATAATCACAGTCATGGTGGAGGAGAATCACTTGTGATCTTTATACTTGTTGAGACTTAATGACTTATTCATAGTAAAGATTCAATGTGAGATTCGTAGTTAAACATTTATCTCTTTTTATTTGATAAGAATTTTTAATCTAAATTTGTTCTATCAAATTTTTATAAAAAGTGAGAAAATTGAGATTTTCATGTGTATTCTAGACTTTGACTTTATAAAGAAGTTATGGACTATGCCAAAACTTTAATTGTATCAATAACGGCTGTGCATCACAATTGGTTTGAATTTGTGTGTGATGATGATAGAAATGGAAAACGAAGGTGGGGTGTGGGCTCCATGTATCCAACGCGTTGCATCGTACGAAGCCCACGTTGGAGACGGGATTAAAGAGTATTCGGGCCCACAGAAATCTTTCCGTCCAGAGACCACGCAGCGTGGCACGTGCGGAACGCCAGACGATTCCAAGCTTGGCTCAACCATTGGCTTGCTGCGGCTCAAGCCACATTTAAGACCTTCCATTATATATATATACGTGTGTGTGTGTGGGGGTGGAGCAACTGGCAAGGAGGGGGAGGGAGGAGGATGGATGGGCTCACACGATTTCACAATTTCTTGGAGTAGTTATGGGAACTTAATTTCACGAGTCATGGCACTCAATAATTACATAATTTGGTGTCTGGTTTAACATTTTTCTCCTCGTAATCATCTTTTCAATAAAATAATTTTTCCAAAAAAATAAAAAATAAAGTTAAGACCGAATTTATCTTTGTCCAACGGGTGAAAATGTAAAATTAAAAGAGTATTATTGAGCTGATATGTTAATTTTTTTTCATGGACCGGGATTAAAAAAAAAAAAAACGATTAACATATAAACTGTACACCGTTTCTTTCTTTCAATCAATTAATTTCAACACCGATTAATAAATCACAATGTGTAGCAAAGAAAACTTAAGATAAAAATTGATATACAATGCAATGAAATTTGACTAGCTTTTTTCCAATAAACCTTTTAAATAGATGGATTTATACTTGATGAACCAATTTAATCCCAACTATTTGATTGAGAAAATGACCTCACAATATGGTATTATTTATATTATAAATTCCCATTAAACTTTTAATTTTTTTTTAATTTTATATGTTATTATTTATATTAGAAAGAAACCTGACTGTGATTGCAGATAAAGATATAAGACAAATGGTCCCTAGCTTCTATTCCATTAATTCATGAGTCGCGCATGACACCTGATTGTGGGGGCACATGATTGTGGGGGAATGGAAAATGAAATCTCAGAAAATAAAAATAAAGAATGTCCCCTAAGAAACCATATTTGAAGATGCCACTACTACTATTATTCGTATCCTGACTTGTGTTGATTTTTTCTTGACAAATAAATATCATGTAGACAATTTTCTTGCATGAGAAAGCATTTTATGATCTTATTATTATTATTATTATTATTATTATTATTATTTTCGGAAAGTAAATGTTATATAAATGAAGAATAATTAAATATTAAGCCAAGCCTTTGAAAATGGATGGTATGTAATGATCTTCTTCTGTTAGATTGGATGGTAGGAAAATATCTCTTAAAGTTGATGCGGATAGATTAGCAGGTCCCCAACTTTTCCTTACCACTAGTGCTAGGTCCCTATTTGAAATGGCCTTTGGCAAACGGTTTTAGCCAGGGATTCTAGACCAATCCTGGCCAAAAAAAACCAGAGAATTTCCCACAACACAACTCTCGAGTAACAAAACTTCGGTACAAATCTTGATGGAGCCCGTACAAATCTTGATGGAGCCCAAATCCTTCGAAAAGCATTATAAGATCGAGAAACCAGACCTCCCATTTGGGATGTAGGGCTTGTACCAGTTATGTTATTGTCCATTTGGTTGCCGCAAGTTGCTGGGATTAATACTTTGAATTTTTTTTTTGGAAAAATATGACTTTCACATTATGGAAATATTGGCAAGAGAGTTCTTGTAATTATTGTTAAATCGTATGTGTACCATTGTACTCCTTACTTACTTTATATATATATATATATATATATATAATACTCACATATACCTCTCCTTGCCCATAATAATAAGATATGAAAACAAAAGAAAAAAGATATTTTTATGATTTTCTCATATCGATAAAAATCGACAATACACTAATTGCAATACCAAGTTTCATATGACATATTAAATGCAATATGTCTTTTTAGACAAAATTACCATTTCCTCTTGGTTTCCTTTTCTGTTCTTTCTGTTATATCTTTTCTTTGTGTATAAGTTACTCATATACATATTTTTACTTAATATTCCTTCTCTTTGTAAAATATATTTTCTATTAAA